CTAATAGCATGAATTATCACGATCTACATTGTCATCGGAGGCGTTCTCAATTGCGTTATTCAGACAGAGCTGGTAGCTCTGTCCACGGCGTTTGTTTTAATGATGCATGGGCTTCCAGCGGGAAGGATAGCACTTGTACATGTATGATTATCCACTGGCCTTGTTCTGATCTCAAGATCTGGACAACATGGCCCAAATCAACATGTCGAAGTCAGATAATAAAAATGAAGTTTCAAAGTCACATATTCCCCTTTTAGGAGTTGGCGATACACGTTGGCTTAAGCTACAACAGGAGGGGTTGGGAATAATTATAGGACCTTGTAGACACCTGAAATGAAAAGAGCACTGAGGAAATAAAGAACCAGATTATAACTGAGCATTTGATATCACCTTAATCTAAATGCTTTTTTTCTAACCTTTCCTACTCCAGTTTCTAGCTCCGTACACTTCTGCTGAGTGGCAATATTAGCACGGCCACTTTGCCGCTGCGTGCACGGTCCACCTTTAATCTCAAAGCGGTAAGCGTGCCGTCATTTGATCTTCGTTGCGCGAAAGTTGTTGGAGCAGCTTGACCTCCAATCATGGGAAAAGGTATGTCTTGTGTGAAGACCTTGGCTTGGACAGTTTCAAACTAACATTGAATATAGGAACCGATAAGCTTTACGTATGCGCCAACTTTGTTTTCTACACTCTCCCTATCGCATATTGAATCTCCGTTGACAATCGTCTTTTCTTTAGATCACACACTCCGAGTGGGCATCGGAAGATGCTTTCTCGGCCAGTGCTGGCGCTGGTGTTTCCAAAGCCAAGAAGGGTGGTCCACACGCCGCGTTCAAGCGCTTGCCGTTCAACTTCTGTTCCCTTTCCCTTCAACCATTTTCACACCCGGTTTGCACGCCCTCAGGGACGCTCTTCGACCTCACAAATATCTTGCCATGGATCAAGAAGCATGGGACAAATCCCGTCGATGGGGCCCCGTTAAAGAGCTCGGACTTGATTAAGTTGAATATCGCGAAAAACGAGGATGGCGACTACGTCGACCCGGTGACCTACAAGATTCTGACAGATAACACACATATCGTTGCATTACGGAACACAGGAAATGTCTTTTCCTGGGATACGGTGGAGCGACTCAACATCAAGGGAAAATTGTGGCGCGACTTGGTCACGGATGAGGAATTCAGTCGGAAAGATATTATCACCTTGCAGGACCCGCAGAATATCGAGTCCCGCAACCTCAGCTCGTTCAACTACATCAAGGAGGGGGAGGCGGGAATATTGGACCAACAGACTTCTGGAAGCGTCAATACCGATGCGCTCGGTAGCGCGGCGAAGATCCTGAAAGCGAAAGAGGCGGTTGCAAGGGCACGGTCAGAACGCGCCCAGCAGGCTAGTTCTACCACGGCCGGCTCAAAAGCAGTTTCAAAGACTGGAGCTGCGAATGTGGCACCGAAGGCACAACCAGGAAAGCCAACACCATACAACGCTGCACGATTCACCACGGGCAAGGCGGCTGCGTCGTTCACTAGCACAGGCCTCACACCGCACACCTCTGCGGAGCTTGCAGTACTATCAGAGGAGGAATACATGCTAAAGCGGGGTCGCGTGAAGGCGAAGGCTTACGCACGCATTGTGACCACTGCCGGGCATCTTAATCTGGAGTTGTATCCCGAGCATGCGCCCAAAACCGTGTGGAACTTCCTTCAGTTGGCCAAGAAGGGCTATTACAAAGATGTACCATTCCACCGCAATATCAAGGGCTTCATGCTTCAAGGTGGTGACCCAACGGGTACTGGACGAGGCGGCGAGAGTATCTGGGGCAAATACTTTGCGGATGAATTCGAGGGACCTTTGAAGCATGATGCTAGAGGCACGTTGAGCATGGCCAACAAGGGCAAAAATACAAATAGTAGTCAGTTGTAAGTGACCCCTTGCAATTCCCCTGGCTTAATGGGCGCTAACTTATCCTTTAAGCTTCATCGCCTATCGCGCCCTACCTCATCTCAACCTCAAGCACACCGTTTTTGGCCGTCTTATCGACGACCCAACCCCCTCATCTACTACTCTAAATAAGCTAGAGATCCATCCGGTGGAACCAAATACAAACCGTCCTACCCCCGATATTCTCATCAAGGAAATCACGGTCTTTGTAGATCCGTTTGAGGATTTCCTGACTCAGAAGCGCGCTGAAGAAGCCCGAGCCACAGGTGCCACGGGTCCTTCTGCGGAAGAGGACGATGAGACTGCTCGCCGTGCGGAGGATGACCGTGTGACCTGGACAGGGAAGCGAGTCCGCGGTGGTGAGGCGGACTCAAATGACAGCGGTGCCTCAGGTGTTGGAAAGTATTTGAAGGCAGCGCTGGCAGACCGGGGTGGAAAGGAAGAAGATGAGATTGTGGGATCTGTGGATGATGAACCTGCACCTGAGCCCGCTCGTAAAAAGGCCAAGGGGCCTGGAGGATTTGGGAACTTTAGTTCGTGGTAATGGATCTAATTTCCAAGTCTCTTTTTCATTAAAATTTGTACTTTGATATGAATATTTGAGTATACTTGATCACATTCTGCACTCGGGTTACGCAAATAGATTCCCTTCCTAGCTATGGTAGAGGTGACCTCGGATATGATCTGAACTTATATGATGCGAGACTTATATCTGGCACAGATATTTCTCATGTTGCAGTGTCATTGATTGCATTCCCATGTACATGAGTCCACAGATAGGTATGTATGTATGATGCCCACATTATGACAACCTATATCCAAGAGCCACCATAATATACACCCCAACAGCAGCGACATGGGAATACAAGGATGGGTTCACAAGCCCATCAGGCGAAGAGCTAAATGCAGAAGCTCCAAATGTGAGGTATCCAAATGAAGGAGAAAGCGCAAAGAAGGCCACATTCCCAAATTGTAGCAGAAAACAAAGCCAGCGGTTCCCTTTGAGCAAGATGGCTCTAATAAGCAGTGAAAACAATATAAGCACATACATGCCAGTTAATACAAAGGGATATACATTGACAGTTTCGATGATTCCAACCAGCGGGCTGAGAAAGCTGGACATGTAAAGTATACAGAAACTCCATGCAAGGCAAGAAAGAACAGCATAAGAGACACCTGCTTTTAGCGTACCAGTATACGAGTTCCAGTCATGATCGGGACTTTCGGGATCAATTAGCTCCTCGTCCATTGACATAGATAGGATGGGGTCTGTTGTATTAGGTTCATAGGTTTCGTTCTCCAAGCCCGCTGCCGGACTATATACAGTGTCTGGTTCGTTAGATTGAAAATTCTAGGGATTGAAAGCTCAAACCTACCTTTGTTGAAGTATTGCATCATTGTGATAAAGGGAGTTGCTAGTAGCACGACAGCCACAACCTGACCAAATGTCCAATTTCCTACAAGACCTTCTGATAAGCTGGCTACTAACCGCAATACACCCCAAGTGAAAGCGATTATTAACCAAGTAACCTGTCCACGGGTGCACGGACTCCAAGTTAGATATCATCTCAGGAGATAGTAATTCAACAAACAGTTTACCTCTAGTAAGACTGAGCTCCAACCATCGCAGATCAAACGCGCAGCTAAAAATGTAGCCAAGAGGGGACGGTAGCAGATTGAGCGTCTGAGGCTGTATGGATGCCGCTCTTTACAGGCCTAGTCAAAGACGATTTGCAAGATTCGTCGTGCTCGAATGCTGAGCCAGATCCTGCCACGACCAAAGACACCCACGGAGAGAGTTTTGTGTAGCTTGATAACTCGAGAGACAAACGCAACGATAATCAACATGGCAGAAATTAGGGCTGACCAGGATGGGAGAAGGTCCAACCTCAAGCTTAGAGGAAGCCCTAAATGGCAAATCGCGGGAGCGCGGTACGAATACGCACCAGGGACCCCTGTTAATAAGAGTCCAACGACCAAGAACGTGGCGAGCGCACCCATAGCAAGGAGTCGCCACAGGCGCTCTGCAGGAAATCTATAGAGATGAGCACGCAATACGGTCAGACATGACAAATGGGTCAGGCATGAAAACCAAGCGAGTTTGATAATATAGAACGAGTGATAGATTGTTAGGCCGCATCGAAGTTGTACGAATCCACTGATCAGGAGCGAGAAACCCGTTATGATTTGGAGGTCACTCATCAATAAAAGGCACTTGTGGTATGTTAATACTAGTATATTCCAATAAGACCCAGGAGAAAACTAACCTTGATGAAAGTCTGTTGAAGCCGGTTACGGAAATCGGGGCTCATCCGGCGAGACTTAAGAGTACATATTAGAAAGTGTTTTGGTCCCCATCGTACTGCTTGTAGAAATACTTCGTCCACTGGGTTAGGACGAAATGTATCATCAACCTGATCACCTTTGTCGAAAGGGTTATAACTTGGTTGGTATACACCAAGATAATATACAATAATGATCAAAACAGCAATGCTTGCAGTCGCAACATAGTTTATCACTATTCCAATGCCGGTAATGTCACTGTCGGGGGTAAAGGGAGGGGGCTTTGCTGCGCAGTCATAGTCACAGAATGACATGATGACCTGCTGTGAAGAAGAGAAAGGCAAGGCGGACTGGGCTTAATTCTTATGACATGGATGCCTGAGGAGAGGAATCCCATTTTAGCCAAAAGAGAAGCGAAAGCGAAAGAAGATAGGTGGAGGGAGGCTGAATGTCTCTGGCTGCATATCATCAGAGGCCAGGGGGCCAAAAACTGGGGTGTTGACAGGGCAGTGTTAGACGTAGAAGCTGATAGGCCTGCGAGTGTAGCCGAGTTATTAGGGTGATCACCAGAAAATGGTTAGACTTGCGGCTAAAATATTTCTTGGTATAAATCATATAGAAGAGGAGATAACTTAAGGTTAAATTTAGGTATACCAAGGGTAATCGAATGCAATCAACTCCGTACTTTAGTACTTCACGTGTACCTCCGTATAGGGTCACTTGGCCAGACTGATGATTTCACTTGGGAAGTGAGATACCGACCACTTTCATTGCCTATGAATGAACTCATTCGATTGGGGTCGCTGCCTCAAGGATGTTTACCTAGTCTAGACACTACCTTTGACACAGCGTCATCATACTTTGAGAGCCTAGCCGAGCTACATATTATGCATCTTAGGAACCAAAGGAACGACGCCATTGATTCAGCCGATGACTGTCGACGAAAGTTTGTGGCCAGATGTCTCTTTCGAAAGCTCGCCCGAGAACGAAAACTCACAGACCGGTGGGCATCTTTTGAGAATGGCCCCTTCAAATTGTGGTGCGACGATTTCCGACCAGGTAATGTCCTTCTCAACAAGGACTCAAAAATTACTGGGGTCGTGGACTGGGAGTTCTCATATGCTGCCCCCGTTGAGTTCTCCTACGCGCCACCTTGGTGGCTTCTTATTGAAAAGCCCGAATACTGGCCTACGGATGACGGTCTTGAAGATTGGTGTAGGGAGTATAAGTGTCGACTCCAGACATTCCTAAAAGCTATGATCAATCGCGAAGATGAAGCGATTAGGAAGGGTCAACTGAAAGAAAACCAGAGACTTTCTGGCCCGATGCGAGAGAGCTGGGAGAGTGGAGAGTTCTGGATTGCATACGCCGCTAGGAAAAATTTCGCCTTCGATGCGATATACTGGCAAAAGATCGATAGTCGATTTTTCGGGCCGACTAGGTGTTCTGATACTGCTGACGCATGGAAAGAAAGACCTGAGTATTTGGATGACGAGGAGAGAGGTGATATGGAACGGCTTGTTGTCCAGAAACTGGAGGAGATGAAAAGCAGAGTGTTGGCGTGGGACCCGGATGAATATACACTAAGTCATATAGATATTGCGAAGAAGAAGGAAAAGTGAGAAACCTCATATTGAAGTGGAGGAAGTTGAAGCGGAGGTTGGGAGGTTAGCTATTTGATAGTACAACCATACGTGGATGTTGGATGTTCCCAAAGTGGTAAGATAAGAAGAAAACAAGATCATAGCGTCATCGACCGGATGCGGAGAGATGAGATTCCATTGATATTCAATCTGAAGGTATACTAAATATAAGGATATAATATAAGAAATACAAATGATATACATTGCATGAATTTACCCCAGACCATCAGATAATCAATCTCAGATCAAGATTTCCACCCCAACAGTCTTGGCTCTCTCCGCCCACTGCCGTGTGAGCCGCGTCGTTTTCCTCTTTACCCTTTCACCTTTTCATCTTTCACCTTTACTTACAATCCTATTCTATCGATCTTCAATAGTAAGTCCTGTTTCTATATTTCATCTGATACCGATTACTCTGCCTGGTGCCTGGGAAGTGTTCCTGGAGTATCAGACAGTGCTATACGGAGTTACGGAGTACACGAGATGGACATGCAGTTGTACCTGATGGGTTTCATATATTTGAATTACTCTGATTGGTCTTCTTTTCTGATTTGTGTTTCATATTTTATGAAGAGAACACTTCCCCTCGTGATTCTACTCTCCCGCATTGACGTCTGTGCCGCTCACTGCCTAAACCATCTTCTGTCTCCGTACTTCCTCTTATCTCTCATTTCAGCCACCTTTTTATTGTCCCCACGAACTCATCGCTGATTTATTCAGCACTTGCAGCCCAATTCCCTCCGATTTGCGCCTTGATCGACCAGCCCTACGTCAGACTCGCAGCCCCCCCTCCGTGTTCGCCCCGCCCATCACTAAACCACCATCCCCGATCCACCCAATTCCTCTTGAAGGGATACAATCAAGCTGGCAGGAAATAAGCGCCGCAGTTTTTCTTCGCAGGGTGGGTTACTGAGCAGAATGTTCAGTGGCTCCAGCCCACCTAAAGACAAAGTAGACGCACTCCCAGAGGCCGGGCTCGACACTAGCTCCTTGGCCCTCCAAACCGATTCAATCGGCACCAGCCCACGTGAGAAGAGATTCTCTCCGCCAAGCGCTGGATTTTTCAATCGTCGACAAAGCGAAGAACAGGGTACCGCTGGCGATAAGAAGCGCAGGAGTAGTACCGTGACGAAAGCGGCCAACTTCTTCAGTAACGCCAAAAGCTCTCTGAGCTTGAACGGTCGGGACAGTTCTGCGATCAGTACCAGCCCTTCGATCGCGGAAAGCCCGCTACAGAAGCTTGGAAAGATGGATCCAGCTCTCAGCGTCCCTCAAGGGTCGTTCAATAACTCCGCCGGAGAATCCGCCCCGACTGCCCGATCATCCTTCCGCGTTGGCGTCACCGAAGACCGGAATCGCAAATGTCGCCGGACAATGGAAGATACGCATGCCTATCTCTACAACTTTCTGGGCACCCCTGCTCCGACCCCACCAGAGACCAATGGTACTAATTCCCATAAAGATAGGCCGTCGCAGTCATCAGAGGATTCATCTACCGTCGTAGAAACAGACAATGGCTATTTTGCAATTTTCGATGGACATGCTGGCACCTTTGCCGCAGAGTGGTGTGGAAAGAAATTGCATTTGATTCTCGAGGAAGTCATGCGCAGAAGCCCAACCACCCCCGTACCCGAACTCCTCGATCAGACTTTTACCAGTGTCGATCAGCAGTTGGAGAAATTACCCGTTAAGAACTCCGGGTGTACAGCCGTCACTGCCGTGCTCCGGTGGGAAGATCGTGTACCCAACTCACAGTCGGCCACCGGTTCTTCTGCCCTCGGCCCTGCAGCTGTCGCAGCAACCAAAGCGGACACCAATTCAGAGAATGTCGAAACTCCGACTCAAGCTACTTCAGGCGCCTCTGCTGTCCTGCCGAAATTGCAGGATAAGGCTATTCGGCAACGGGTTTTGTACACAGCGAATGTTGGCGACGCGCGCATTGTATTATGTCGCAACGGAAAAGCACTTCGTTTGTCCTATGACCATAAAGGCAGTGATGAGAATGAAGGAAGGAGAGTTGCCAACGCTGGTGGTTTAATCCTAAACAACCGAGTGAATGGAGTTTTGGCCGTTACCCGTGCCTTGGGCGATGCATACTTGAAAGACCTCGTGACTGGGCATCCCTATACAACAGAGACAGTCATTCAGCCAGATGCTGATGAGTTTATCATCTTGGCCTGCGATGGTGTAAGTTGAGATCCATTCAATGTTGATGATACAAGAAATCTAATTATAACTCCAATAGCTGTGGGATGTCTGCACTGATCAAGAATCGGTTGATCTAATTCGGAATGTTCAAGATGCCCAACATGCCTCAAAGATCCTTGTTGACCATGCGCTTGCACGGTTCAGCACCGACAACTTGTCTTGCATGGTGATTCGCCTTGACACAAACCGCGTGAAGGACGTTGTCAACCACAATACAGAACTGATAGGAGTGGACGGAGATCCGCTTACGAAGGTTGCCCAAGGCGTTAGTGAGGCCGATAAGATTGTCGAGAACGCACAGAAGAGCCTCGCCTCTTCCGGTCTTGCAGACAATCCGGCCGCGGCAGAGAAGGCCAATGAAGAGATTCTTCAGAGAATGGCCAGCCAGAGTCAAAAAGAAGAACCCGGGCCTGAGATGTCAACCAAAGGGAGTAACGACCTTCCCTCCGTGGACATCCTGAGTCCGAATAGGAGCCCGGAAACCCCGGCAGGCTCGACTCAGTGATTTTACGACATGTTACGAAGCTGAATCGCCATTCTGAAGCTGTGAAAACGAAATGATAGAACGTGTCCATTTCTTTCCTTTCGTCTACTATCTACCTCTGGTGCTTCTGGGAGCAATGTACCCGACCCGGAATATCTTCTGGAGTTTCCCTTTCCTGTCGCTTACTTATTACATTGCACATTGGCGTCAATGGGGCACACTGGCTGCCCATTGTCCTCATCTTTTTCAACGTTTTGTTTATTAGGATATCAGACTTGGTGGTCTTGATGCCTTTTGTTAGCATAAGTCTTTTATTATTAGGATATTTGTCCTGAATTTGACCTCCATGAGATTAGGCTCTTTGTTTTCCATCCAATGACTTTAAACTAAATGGATGGTACATATCTATCTGTCTGTTGTATCCGATGCAAGTGTAGGGTGTTATTAGTCGATGGACATGGTTTACTGTGTTATGTAGAATAAACAGTTGGTTTTGGTTGCTCTACACTAAATCAAGATCCTGTTTTGGAACTCTGCAATAGTCATTTAAGCCTTTTGTCACGGTTGCTTTATGACTTCTTTAGACTATCCGTCTAGAAATGAGGTTGATATCAGAAAGAACCATAATGAATCGCGCCTAAACAAGACCCTAGAAAAGATGTCAAAAGAAGAGACCACTTACAGGTGGCCGTACCTTCTTGTGATTTGATATATCTAAAAGTACAATTTATGAATGCTAGGATAAGCTAGACAGAAAGACAAGAGAGAAAGTACAAAAAGCACCAACCATCAGGCCAAAACCAGAGGGAAGTGGATATCAACACACACATAACGTCCCGCCTTGCTCTTGAAAGACCGACAGACACGAGAGAAGAATTCCAATGACGCCAAACGTCTATGCCTGCTCAAACGAACCATCGGCGATGATTTCATCCTTGGTAACTGGAAGGTACTCCTGTCCAACCATGTGGTTTCGAGTCCAGCGCAGCTGGCCGTGCTCAACGTAGTCCGGCCAGGTCTTGGCGCACTGCGCATCGTACGCATCCTGCCACAAGATCTTGACAGAACCCTCCTCCGGGGTGTTGTGATCTGTACTAATCTCGACCTGCAGCTGCTCCTCGAGCGATGCAACTTGGTTCTCATGTTCCTTGGCCCGTTCAGCCTCCTGCAGGAGAGCCTCACGCCTGCGCTTACGGGCCTTGACAGTCTTGTATCCACCCTTGGCGCTCTCTGGCACACCCTCCAGGATATGTTCTTTGTGCTTCTGCAGAACGAAAGCAACGTCGGCAACTGCGGTGGCCTTCTGGTTCATGAGGGCGTAGGCACGCTCCTTCTTCATCATGATCTGGCCCAGTCTTGGCATGTTTAACTTGTCCCATTGCTTCTGGTCCCGTAGGTCTGCTGGCCGCTTCGAATCGAGATATTCTTTTGTCACGGTAATCATTTCCTTGGGCGGGGAGAGCTGGCGGAGCAGCGCGAATTGGCGGAGGTGGTTATACACGTTCAGTCCGACTTGCGCTTCGTTGAAGTGCACGGAGAAGTATGGAACCCACATATCCTTGCGGACAGTGGCGGGAACAGTCTTCTTGCCGTGGTAGACACATTGCTTGATAAGGTTGGTTTTCTAGAGGTCCGGCATGTTAGAAAATTGCGATATAACAGGCTGGAAGGATACGGCAGCATGGATGGTTTCGCTAGAGACGCTTCCAAGGCCATCGCAGGTAGAGTGAAAAAAACCCACCTCCAGATAGCGAGTCAATGAGTACACGACCTGTTTCGTACGGATGTTGTTGTACACGAAGATGTTCTTGCCGTGGGTGACAGAGTTCAAGGCTCTCTGTAACCGCCGACCTTCCTTATCCTGGTGCTCTCTGAATGCGTTTGAGCCCGGTACTCGGGGCTTTCCTTGAATTGGTGTGGCCGGATCAATCGGTGGTCGGCGGATGAATTTCGTGGCCGCAAGTGCTGTGGAATCCAGCACTTTCTGGAAGGACTTTACGTTGGAGGCCATTGCGGCCGGACCGGAGGCTGCGTACAGTCGATCTGGAAAGAATTAGGACAGTGGAAGGCGCGGGTTTATTGCATTGGTGGGAGGCGCCAGACGGTGTTGATAGAGAGAGACGGGAGGTCGATTTTTTGACGGGGAACGCTGAGGTCTTGGCACTTGCTCTCCGCATCGTCTCTTATCAGCTCACTACTCTCTCGCTCTCGCCAATTCAATTGCTTCCAACTGCATTTTGTCTATTTTCTACCTTCATTAATATGAGCGACCTGGTCTATTTGCTACGTACTAGTTAATCACCGCGCTACCCTCACAGCGCTGGCATTATGGATAAGGACACGGAGCATGATACAGGTGCCCGCAGAGAGCGGCCATGGCTCTATGCATGGGTATGAAAGGAAAATGGAAGAAAACACCACGTTGTTAGATGTTGACAACCTATCAGAACCGTAGGCTTCGGCATCTACAGGGAATTTCTGTACGCAACTTAGTCGTGACGCCTCCCACGACTCGAGTTCGCGGCAAGACTATTGATGACGACGATATCCCGAATACCTTAAAGACGCCCTCGAAGATTCTATCGCAGAACGAAAATCATACCTTGCACCCTTCGCGATCTTTTACTGATCTCAAGTCGCATTCGGGCCAACATGACAACCCAAAGGAACCCACAATGCCTTCGTCGCGTCGCAGAAGTACCCTGTTCTGGAACGACCCCAATCCTCGAACTCGGCAAGTCAAACTAGAAGATATTATCAACAGCCGCATGGCGGATACATTCTTCTCACTTCATTGCGAGGGACTTGACGAGCCGATCTATATTAGCGAAATAGTCGATCGCGCAAACAATCCGAATTTCCGAGCTTTCGATTTGAATCTATGTGGCCCATATGTCTCTCGAATGGACGGATTGACTCTGAAGCTCTGGACAAAGACCGGTGACATGCCTGAGTTTATTCTACTAGTTGAATTGCAGCTGCATTTGCGATCATTGCAGTTCTTGGGAAAGACATTGGAGAGCTTCCACCAACCACTTCCTGCGAACTCTATCCTTTTTCACTTCCCGGACGGTGTGTATTCCAACCTCACTGACCTTCCACTGGTCGAGACATCGCTCCAAGCTGCAGGACATAAGTCCATTGCAGATGCTACCACCTTGCCATCCTCGTCCTATGATGCCTTGATGAAATTGGCCAATTTGGATGAATGTGTACAGGATGCATTGGCGACCAGAGAAAAATTGGAAGCTCAGATTAGCTCAATTCTACAACAGAACGAGCGCTCACTAAATGTAGCGAGTGATGCAGCTGTGGCACAGGAAAAGCTTGCTCTTACCAAGCAGTATGTCGCGATGGAGCGAAAACGAGTCCGTGCTGCAGTCAGACGCAAAGAGGAGCTTATTGCCAGTATCAAGGCCCGAAAAGAAGCGATGGAACAAGGCCGTAGTGCTCAGGAAAAGACACGCAGTCATCTTCCCGAGGCCCAGGAGAGGTTGGTCTCCAGCGAGAAATTACTTGACCAAACCGAGGAGGATATCAAGGGCCAGCTCCGACGTATTGCTGAAGATCTTCTCACCATCTACCCCATCGAACCCATCCCGGATAAACCTCTGGCATTCACCATCGCCGGGCTAGCCCTTCCAAATTCGACCTTCGAGGATATCGACCGCGAGGTAGTTGCAGCAGCATTGGGACACACAGCTCACTTGGTCTATCTGCTCTCATTCTATCTGTCGGTGCATCTCCCATACCCGATCAACGTGAACGGGTCCACGTCGTTCATACAAGACCCAATATCTGCATCACTCCCACAACGCACCTACCCCCTCTACCCGGTGAGTGTCCAGTATCGGTTTGAGTATGCGGTCTTCCTCCTCAACAAAGACATTGAATATATCCTCATCAAACAAGGACTGCGTGTCTTGGATATCCGCCACACTCTTCCAAACCTCAAGTACCTCCTTTACGTTCTTACTTCTGGTGACTCGGTGGTCCCCGCCCGTAAAGCCGGCGGAGTCCGGGCTCTTGTTGCTGGGCAGTCCACTCCTGATTTATCCCGGCGTGGTAGCGTGGAGAGTGGTGCATCTGGTGAGCTGGTCCATCCGCGCAAAGCTTGGGAGTCAATGTCCCGGATGAATATCAGTCTCGCTTCACACAAAGTGAAATAGTCACTAGCAATGGCTTTTTCTTTTCCTAATACCGATGATTTGCAGAGGGTGGAACATGCCGTTTAAAGTGAACATTGGTACCAATTTGGGCCTGTGACATTTCCCTTTTTTTTTTTTGCTTATTTTCAGTAGCATTGTACAATTACATGAACATGGGAATTGTAATTATAATAATAAAAAAAGTCCATTGCAATAACACGTAGATATATATATATATATAGTTAATATGGTAGGTAGTATTATATCCCTAGATTCGGTCTTTACCCCGCAGAGTTCTTATTATACAACGGAAACTACCTGGTCCACTAGGAGCAAACTCTGACTTCAATTGATATTTTCATCTCTTCTTGACTTCAACTTGGAATCTCTATTATATTTCTATTTCTGTCGGCTTTTGTCCGAGTTGTCGGAGTAAGAACAAACCCCACCGCCTTTTACGCTTATCTCGCTTTCCATCGCTTTGTGTCGGAGCCTTCCCCATCATTGATATCCACGAAATGGGGGACAATAATAGTGTGCACAGCAAGGCCGAATCGGATGCACACCATCGCCGAGGATATCAGGCCTGTGATCCATGTCGAAAACGCAAGGTCAAGTGTGACCTAGGGAGTATGGGCCCATTTCATCTTATTTTGTGGCCTGACTGATCCAAAAACCCGTAGGTGTCGATAATCCTCGCCCCCCACCATGTGTTCGATGCCGCCGAGAAAGTAAACGATGTGAATTTTCAGCGACTCGTCGAAAGCGCAAGACCTCCGGTGCTGAAGATGATGAAGTGGAGGCAGCGGCGATCCTCCATCGCGACAAGCGAATGATGATTGGGGAGGTAGCCAAGAATGAGCCTTTGGAAAGCCCAGTGGAAGGCCCGCTATTTGCGCCTTCCGATCCACCCCAGTTTGACCATGATGCCGTGCGTGCCCAACAGAGATGGTCCGAGGCACCCCCTGCGCCTGCACCTACAGCCCAGCGGTACACGCCCAGTGCGCCAGTATCACGAGCTCCTGCATACCCAGTTAGCGAACGCCCCGCACCTAGCTATGCAGGTCCTCCGATGATGAATCGCACTGCCGTGGAGTTGCTGTCGCCTGCAATTACAAATACCCACGACGCTTTACATCTTCTCTCTGAAGCTGCGGGTAGGACAGAGGATCTCAACCGCCAGAGTCTCGAGAATCGGTTTGCTGCACGGCAGTCTGTCTCGTCTTTCAACTCAGGCCCTTCACCTCTACCACAAGGCAGCTCGCCTCGAAGCTTGGGTGGGTCCTTTGTGCGGACTCCACGATCGGGAATGTCTATGGGTGGGTCTACATACTACCCGGCTGGTGCTTCGGGGCCGGTAGATCCCCAGATCGCCGACCCTGGCCCTCAAAGGGAAAGCTCAGCCAACACCCAGCCCCCAGAGCCAGCGTATCTTGATGCACTCAGAGCCTGGTCGCGGTTGCGATTCGTTCGTGCCGGCTGGCTTACAGTAGAGGAGGGCATGGATTATGTCGAGTATTACTATGAACACCTCGCGCCGATGAGCCCTGTTGTAATCCCTGATTTCTCTCATCCATCTACGCACCGTACATTACTTACGGATGAGCCGGTGTTGGCGGTTACAATCCTCACCATCGCGTCTAGGCATCTGAAACCCAAGGGCGATGGTGCTAATACGCGAGCGTTCTATATCCACGACCGTCTTTGGGCATATCTGCGCAGCATGATAGAGCGCCTATTCTGGGGTCAAGAGAAATTCGATCCTGGGACATCGGGCATTGGCCGACCTCGATCACTTGACTTGAGTTCATCAATGTCAGGCAAAGGTAGTGCGGGTGGGCAACTGAGGTCGTTGGGCACTGTAGAAGCCATGCTACTTCTCACAGAGTGGCACCCGCGAAACCTGCACTTCCCGCCTGGCGATGATGAAAATTCTCTTTTGGATACAGACCCCCAGACACATAGTCGGGACCATGACGGCGAGCATACTAGCAAAGGCTCAGAGGGAAGGGTCGCGTTTCAGAAATGGCTGGAACCAGCTTGGAGATCGGACCGGATGTCATGGATGCTACTGAGTACGGCCCAAGCTCTGGCTTTTGAACTTGGCGTCTTCGACCCTAAAGGAGATATCAAGACGGCCAATGAGTCTCTATCTGAGCAAACACGGAAACGTCGACTACGGCGTTTAATTCTTGTATTTATCACGCACAGCAGTGGACGTCTAGGGATCCCTTCTATGCTCCCATTGCCGCAATGGGGGCAGGATATCACGCCGACATCTACTGATGCAAATGATGCTGATGCCAATCTTGATCGGATGCAGGATTGCTGGATCAGCATCTCAAAAATTGTCTATCAAGCCAATCATTTGCTATTTGCTTCTAGCGATCAAACGATGGAGTTGATCAGGACTGGGAGATATCGTGAGAAGATCGACCGCTTCCAACCATATCTACGGGAGTTCCAGCAGCAGCTGGACAGTGTTACTCGTAAGTCAACTGGCTGTTCGTTGTGGATAGGAAAGCTAACGAAAAGAAGTCTCACCCGCTATGCGGAGTGTTTTACTGATTGAGCTCGAGTACACCCGTAAGTTGAAGCAGCTGGAGTTGCTGAAGGACAACAGCTAATATGAAATCAGGTCTCTATATCAATTCTCTCGCTCTACAAGCGGTCGTCGATCGATGGACTACTATGTCCAATGAGTCCGCTCAGGGTCAAAACCAGGCTCAGAATGGCCAACCAGGATCGGGCCCGTCTAATAGCAGTCAAAGCTGGTTCCAAACGTTGAACGAGCTCTACCGTGTTAATGAGCACTATATCCAAGAAGTCATCGATTCCTCGCGCAAAATTCTGCAGACAGTATTGGAAGGCCTCGTCCCCGAAGGTCGTCTCAGACATGCACCCATTCGAACGTTTTTCCGAATCTTGTCTGGAATGATCTTTATCTTGAAGGTATGGTCTCCGACGGAAACCCGGTCATGCATAGTACTAATTTCAACCATAGACTTTCACACTGGGTGCCAGAGAAGATGATGTGCGAGTCTCCCTCGACCTGCAGGACCGGACGGTGGAGGCACTGCGCAATTATGTCGTGGATGACGTGCACCTTAGCAACACGGTGGCCCGGCTTCTCGAGCTTCTCACTAGCAGCATCCGAACGCGCTTTCTGCGCTTTGCACCGCATGACCGGGGCGCAGACGGAGAGGGACACGATCGGACCTCCGTCCCAGGCTCTCGGCCCCATTCACCTTCACGGGAGCACTCAACAGCTCGGCGTGACGGCCCGAATGCTCCCTGGTCCGCTAATCAGGGTCATGATACTACTCCAGGCGGGCCGGGGCTAGGATATGCGGATACTCCTGGCGCGGGGGCCCACTCGATGGGATCAGGGCATGATCCACTGGCGAATATTCCTGCACAGCCGATCAACTCGTCCAACCTCAATGTATCCTTCATGCCACCTCCGCCGTCTGTGTACCACAATTACTACGACTCGAACTCGACATTCTCTACCAATGATATGGACAGGTCATCTCCAAACCATGTCGCCTCATCACAGAGCATGGGCGATAGCCACCACCACTCTACCTCCGGCGCTCTTCCAGATTGGTTTGCTCTGCCTCTTGATCAATTCTTCAACAGCTCCACCGCAGTTGTTGACCAGGGTCTGGGTGGGACTGGACCAATGCTTGGCGAATTCGACATGCTCGAGGTACTTCTCAACGAGGGGTATGATGGAAACGCTAATGGCGATGGCGAAAATGGGGCCGGGTTATCGTCCCAGTATCTGTGACGAAAATAATGATGATTACGAATAATTTGGTATTCTTTTTTTCAAGTCTTACGCTTTGGTTTTGGAGTTGTTTTTGGAGTCCACCTCAAGTACCTTTTTGTCTTCCCGTGCCCGAAATTATATACCCCTGCGGGATCCGCCTGACGTTTCTTGTTTCTCCGGCTGTATATGACATTTTATTTGCCGTAATTTGCTTGAAACTGATTCCCGAAAAGGCTTGACGAATTTGCCGATATCAATATACTCTTGCCTTATGGCGTTATTGCACATTGTTTATTAGTTCTCTATTGCGAATCACTATAACTGTCCGCCGGTGTCCGTCGGGATATTAGATTGCGGGGTCTCTTGTCTCATGCAATAATCTTGACACGATTTCACATGATATCTCGTAAATCTCTTGGACCGAGATTGAAGCTTTCGGGTGGCTTTGGCTTGTTTATACTAGTCCCGATAATATGAACATGTTTGAGCCGGAGAATAGTGTAAATATAGTAAAGATCGTTGTATTTACTGTGCCTTGGCCATCATATGAGACGAACAAGGGACCACAAGGCCTTGGGAAAGTCACTTCACCGTAAACAATGCCATTGATGTCACGTTGCTATGTTCTACTATTGCGCTCTCAATTTATCTCTGCCAATTAAGGACTGCTGTTTTACTCCAGGGCTGCTTACTGCCGATCCCACGATGAACTGATCAGCATATCGACGGCCGCTAGATCATTCGATTCCTTCAGTGCAGGCGATAAGAGCCACTATTTGGTTTTTCTCCGTGAAGGGTCACATCGGCTGATACAGTTTGTGGATTCGACATCTGCAATGCAGGAACGGATCCCCGTCGGAGATTATACCTGTTCTCATTTTATTAAAAAGCAATCTTTCTAGAAAGCTTAATCTCAAAACATTCACCTAATTGTCTCTCAAGTATATACCTAAATTGAGCGATGTGACCTAGTTGGTTTAGGGCAGATCATTGGTCGACGTGGAGATAACGGGGGTTGATCGTCAGGGCTGTTACTTCACTTCAAGGGCTAATCAATTTATGTAGCGTGACTCGCTAAAGGATAATCTAGTGTCAACTCCGTATTGGATGGCTTAATACTTATTGAACTCTTATACAAGGATGGCCAAGTATGGCGATCGACCTACCTTCACCCAATGAACACCAAGAGGTCGTATTCCAAGACAACGCTTTGTCTTGGCCGGAGTTCTCCGTTATGTATCCGAGATAGCTTGTCACAACCAAGCTCTCTGGGCATTATGCTTGTGTTGCGTCCCTTACATCTCCCATGCTCGTGCGTTGGCCGCATTTGTCCTCTCACATCCATTTGATATCGGCTAGCTTCTTGAATCCCTGCCAATATGGCTTGACCCCTCAGTAGTCTGCTTGGCGGACTCCGTCGCACTATTCTGGATGGCTGATGGCGTCCGTGATGATCTCAAAGTTTCCCCTCGACCTAGCTCCATTCTGCTGGATCGTCATGCTTCCTTCCTAGAAGAGCATTATCACCTTCTCCTGGATGTTGCGATAGACAGCCCAGTTGATGTCTTCTACCCTCGGAGCCGGCGGATGGCATCTATCAGAAAAGCTATAAAGGAGGTCATTTCTTCAGCTGTTTATAGAATCCATCCTCTTCTTCATTCACTCTATTAGATCTATCCATTGTTCTATAGAATCATCATCAACATGGTTGTCTACAGCAAAGTTACCGTTGCTCTCACTTGCTTCTCGGCCGTTGCCTCAGCTGCAGCTGTGCCGGTGAAGAGCCCTCGCAAGGGCTTCACCGTGAACCAGGTGAACAAGACTCCTACCGGTACCAGAACCGTCAACTTGCCTGGTGTGTACGCCAATGCACTGGCCAAGTATGGTGCTACTGTGCCGGCCCACGTCCACGCTGCTGCCGAGAGCGGTAGTGCCATTACTACTCCCGAGGATGGCGACGTTGAGTACCTCACTCCTGTCACCATTGGCGAGTCCACCTTGAACTTGGACTTCGATACTGGCTCTGCCGATCTGTAAGTTGCTTAACACGACGTATCCGGCTAGAGCAACAACTGACAGTTCGTATAGCTGGGTCTTCTCCACTGATCTCTCGGCCTCCGAGCAGAAGGGCCACGACGTCTACGACGTTAGCAGCAGCGGCAAGAAGCTGGCAGGCTCTTCCTGGTCCATCTCATACGGCGATGGCAGCTCTGCCAGCGGTGATGTCTACAAGGACACTGTCTCCGTTGGTGGAGTCAAGGCCACCGGCCAAGCCGTTGAGGCAGCCAAGAAGATTAGCGATCAGTTCTTGCGGGACAAGAACAACGATGGTCTGCTGGGTCTGGCTTTCAGCTCCATCAACACCGTCTCGCCTAAACCTCAGAAGACTTTCTTCGACACTGTCAAGGCTGACCTTGACTCGCCGCTGTTCGCTGTGACTCTCAAGCACGGCGCCCCTGGCACCTATGATTTCGGCTTCATCGACAAGAAGAAGTTCAAGGGAGAGCTTGCCTATGCCGATGTTGACAACTCCCAGGGCTTCTGGTCTTTCACTGCCGACAGCTACAAGGTCGGCAACGGCGCCGCCGGTCCCTCTATCGACGGAATTGCTGGTGAGTTACATCTTTCCATTGTATGGATATGTTTTGCTCAGTACTGACCCCTCAAATTATAGACACTGGAACCACCCTCCTCCTGGTCGATGACGAAGTTGTCTCCGCCTACTACGAAAAGGTTCGCGGCGCTCAGAACGACCAATCTGCTGGTGGCTATGTGTTCCCTTGCGACGCTCATGTGCCTGACTTCACCGTGACCATCAATGGCTACGACGCCGTTGTTCCCGGTAAGCACATCAACTACGCTCCCGTCTCGACTGGTAGCTCCTCTTGCTTCGGTGGTATCCAGAGCAACTCTGGCCTTGGTTTCTCCATCTTCGGTGACATCTTCCTCAAGAGCCAGTATGTCGTTTTCGACTCTGAAGGACCCCGTCTTGGCTTCGCCGCTCAGGCATAAATCTCTTGATGAGATGTACACATGGATGATCATGGATTCCTATGTGTGATGAATTGTTCAGACTGTGAAGAGTGATATAATAGATGGATGATGGACATGCAGGATTTGGATAAGTTGACATAGTAAATTTTGGTCCCTTTAATCAGCTTATATCAATATGATGGACATATGGTGAAATGATAAACAGTACTTTGTAAGCTTCAAAAGTTGAATGTAGTAAGATTGTGGCGAGGAATTTGCGGAGGAGCCAATGCCTAGCCTGTGGATCTTCCTTGGGACTCCAGATTTCCACCTTAATCCTTCTTATGTAGATTGTTCTCCTTGCCCCAGGTCTTTTTTTCAAGTTAACATTAAATTCTCTCTGGAATAAAAACTCTGGAAGGCGAATATATTCTCTTGTCCAATCTCACACCGCCGTCGCTGTTCCTCCCTTACCAATCTTAACCCCCCGACCTTCGGACAACTGTACGCGTCAAGAAATGGAAGTCTAAAGGGTCTGTGACACGGGCGCACCGGTGGAAATTGCGCGGTATATGAACTGTTCCAGGGACGGCGATTCGAGGCCGTTCATATTGAGTCCGATCATGGAAAATGACTTCCACTTGATTCCCCGCCAGATCTGGGCGAATCCAACACCGACCACGACGAAGATTTATTCACCTGGTTGTACGCCTGTGGTCTTGCCCAGTAATGGTGTGTCTACCCCTTTCATGGACTCGTTGGGATGGCTGCAGGCCGCCGGTCGGAGACTCGAGTGTCTGACCGGAGCGTTTGAACGTCCCTTCTCGAGCTGTGTCTAACTGTCGCAATTGTTTTATAGGACTCATATATCTCAACAAGTCATTTGCTATCACTCTCAGCGAAAATGCCGTATTCGAACCTACCTGCACAGGCTCTCCAACCGACGAAGTTCACATCTCCGCTGTCCTCGATACCCGTGATCCATTCTATTCCTCCATTACTCCACAGCTATATGCCATCGGCTGTGCTACCGTCGTTAGCTATCTACTTGTCATAATACTTCTCATCACCCCGCGCACATTCTATGTCGGTGGCCCTGGCGGTGGTGGTGCCAATTTCCTCGGCCGCCATGGGATGATCAGCGGCTCATACAGCGGGAACTCGTCGGTGGTCGGAGTCGGCGGACGACCATGGCTACAGAAAGTGGCTGCGATATTGGTTGCCATTTCGCTGACGATCGCCACGGTCGATTCCTTTAAAGTCGCCGAGCGGCAATATAACTATGGGTTTTCCGATGCGGAGGCGCTTTCGCAGGAGGTTATTGATGGGATGGAAATTCGCATAGTGCGCGTTATATCGAGCACGTTTCTGTGGCTTGCCCAGGTTCAGACCTTGATCCGACTGTTTCCGCGACATAAGGAGAAAGTCATGATCAAATGGGCTGGGTTTGCGTTAATCGTGCTGGATACGACTTTTAGTATTTTGGATAACTTTTGGGCGAGGAACTCTTCGGCAAGACCCAGGTTATACGAGGATGCCATTCCTGCTTTGAGCTATTTGTTCGAGTTGTCGCTTAACCTTCTCTACGCTGCTTGGGTGATTTTCTACTCGATCTCTAAGCACCGATACGCGTTTTTCCACCCCAAGATGCGAAATATCTGCTTAGTGGCTCTTCTCTCGCTTTGCGCCATTTTGATACCCGTCGTCTTTTTTGTTCTGGATATTGCCAAGCCGGAAATTGCTGGTTGGGGTACCTATATTCGATGGGTTGGCTCTGCCGCGGCCAGTGTGGTTGTTTGGGAGTGGGTGGAACGCATTGAAGCGTTGGAACGAGATGAAACCAAAGACGGGATTCTAGGGCGAGAGGTCTTCGACGGCGATGAAATGCTTGAAGTTACTCCGTCCGAGGAAGTTGAATGGCCACAATTCTCGGCTCAAGGAGACGACCAAAGTGGCGGCAATGGTGCATCGTCTGGATGGGGTGGTATGATGGGCTTAGCCCATCGACCTTTACGAGCCCGGGCTGGATTACCTCGCGGCAATCGAAAGAAAGGAGCTGGAGTACCATCATATAACCAGGCGCCTACGTCGGCGCCGCGAGGCCCAAACGATAACCGGCCCACTCCACCCCCAGCGACGATTACACCTATTAGTCGTGCTGATACTACTAGTGCAGCAAGCACAATGTACAATGTCCGGTATCATTCAGTGGCTAGCCCTACGCCTCCCGCCGCGATGCCAAATATGCATGAGGAGGAGGAACTGGACGAAGCCAAGGAACTGGAAGGTAGAGAACCACATACTGCTGACGCCAATGGTCAGGCTCTGTCTGTTCAAAATACCCGAGAGCAGTCGCCAAAGATTGTTCCAGGTGATCCCCGATGGCATGTTCTCCTGCACCCATTCAAGAGACGACGTGCATCTCTACCCAAAGAAGTGGCATCCGCACAAGCTGGAGAAGAATCAGAATACAGACCATCTGCTGCAGCGGAAGAGGCCGCAGAAACAAGTGCTGCCCGATCTCGAGCGGATCACTTCTTTTCTCTTCATCGGAAGGCTCGACTAGGTACTGGACCACAAAACCCCGATGGTTCATTACCAGTCACCGTTATTCCAGCACGTCGCCGCGGCCAGCACACGTGGTCACCACAAAACCGACTACTGGAGGATACCCGGCCACCGGGAGATAGCCGGCCTATAGAACCCCCTCAACATCATGAGCCGCCTTCTAACCGGCCAAATCTGCCTGTGCGGGTGATTCCTTCCCAACCACAAGCGTCTGCTCCATGGACGGAGGCAGATGTAGAGCGGGGAGGCGGGGATTATGTCCTGCACTATGACCCAGAAGCCGCAGCACTGATCAACGAGGACGTTGGCGTGGATCACGTCACAAACTATCGACAGAGCTGGACAGATTCGGACGAAAGTAATGATGTGTCAGCGGAACAAGAGCTATCCGAATCTCCTGAGCACGGACGAAATATCGGACCAAATGAACGGAGCTCTACATAAACTCCCGATGAGTGGCCTTTTCTTGTAGATTGGGTTCATGGCTGAGCCCCTGACGATTTTTGCTTATATTTTGTTATATTTGGTTATACCTCATTGGTTTTTTATTTTGGAGTATAGGGTTATTGGAAAAGGTGTTTCGGAGGACTTTAACATATTAGAAAGATACCCATAATTTTGGAATTGAATATAATATATTTTATATCTTGCTGCTTTGTTGTTTGTATAGGCTACAGAGGCTTTACGTGGCTTACCAACCTTCAGGCTTACAGGAGTGGAGACAAAATTTCACTCGGGAACTACCAGTCCCGGTGTTTCTCCCCATATTCTTTGTATCCCCATGTGACAACTTACCTTGGACGTCGCATCATGGCGACCGTCAATCAAAACATGTTCGGAGCGACCATCACTCAACCGCCTGGCGGTGCCCAGTTGATGGTTCTGCCGTTAAACCTCATCGCCGAGATTGTGTCACATGTAAGAGAGAAGAGCTCCGCACATCCTATTTCCATATCTAACATGTTGGTAGGTCCGCGACACAGGTGATCTCGCCCGGTTATGTCAAACATGTCGCGTCCTCAATTATATGGCTCTGCCGCAACTATACCGGAGCCTAACGCTGACCTCCTACGACAAAATCCGTTATCGTGGCGAACAACCAGAAGGAATCGGGAGTGCCAGTCCCTTCACGATGGCGTTGAATGCGCTCGTTACACGATCTTATGCGACGCTAGTACAGTCAATTACTCTACGAGGGGAATGGAAGGAACACGAGTTGGAGGAGTATGCCCGAGTCGGCCGGGTGCCCGACGCATCGATGTTGCTGAATATCGCCGCCCGCGCCGCCATAGACCGCATGCCCAATTTGGAAAGCTTTCATTGGGAACTGAACACGAAAATGCTCGACACAATTTATACAGGGCTGACGCAGCTCCCGAAGCTCACGTCCCTGACTATCAGATTTCCGTCCAGTCGTCATCCACAGCCCACTTTCGTGATTCCCGGCATGCCGCATTTGCGATGTCTCAAAATCACCGATATCGACCCGCTATGCTACCCCGATGATATTGCAACTCTTCTTTGTAAAAGTAGGAAACTGCGTGAATTGAAATTACATTGGTCGCCACGAATGAGGGACGCACACGAGCCTAGTGTCTCTTTGCGTGATTACTTCCGCAAGCTGATCGCAGCCAAGCAGCCCCTGGCGGTTAAGAAGATGTCGTTCCAGAATTTGTATGCCTTCCACACCGAGGAGTTCAACTTCGCTTTTGATCCGACTACAGTTGAAGATGTCACATTCCTCAGTGGTGTTGAGGGCTCTAGCCTGGTCAATACATTCGTCGAGAGTAGCTGGCCAACAATCCCGCCACATGCCAAGCTTCGCATGAAATCCGTTCGGTTGGATGCAGTGTCTAAACGGAACTCGGAGTTCATTGGGAATTTCTCTGGACTCGAGCGGCTATATTTCGTCAACGTCACCGCCGAATCAAGCGACCTTCTCAATTCCCCACGACCCGGAGGAGGCGCGGCCTCATCCGCCCTCACGCCGCCAGTATCCGAACATCAATTGTCTGGTGCACCCAACGGAACCACAACCAACTCTCCCATTACTTCTGCTTCTCCGGCTAGTCAGCTCAATGCTGTAGCTAACATACGAGACATCTACCTCTCACACATTACCACAAACCACGGTGCGACATTGCGCCATCTCCTTCTCCCATCTAAATGGCCCCTCTCCACCGGGATGGTCGCGCGACTCGTTCATAGCTGTCCGAATTTGGAGCAGCTTGCCCTCGCCACTGAATTTTCTAGTATGGATTCACTGAGTCTACTAATTCCCTTCCTACGCAAGTTGAAAGCGCTCCGGCTTCTCATACCCCAATCACCCGGACAGTCTCCAAATGGACCTGGGAGCTCTGCACTGAAGACGTGGCGACCTGCACGAGACCCAGCCTCGTTTGATTATAAAAAGGTGCAAGCGATTTTCGACAATGCCAAGACTCTTGCAGAAGTGGTTGACATTGACGACTTGCTCCTAACGGAAATGTTGAGTTACGACCTAGCCAACCAACAAGTCTACGGAAACGTGAAGATCATTAGCATAGGCTGGAAGGCCTGGGAATTGAAAGAATTCTACAAATCCCCCATCCCAGAGGCTCAAACACCAACAAATGCATCCCCAGAGACCACCACAGACAGCCCTGTTCCCACGCAAGACACCAACGGCATTGGACTCAGTGTACCAGATCAACCTGCTGTCGCGCCTAAATCGCCCGGTACGCAGACAACACAGATCTCCTCTTGGCCTCCCCGTTTATCCGATACAAGACCCGATACACCGCGATCAACATTAGGGAAACGATCACGTGATCAAAATGATAGCGAAACTCCCAGACCATCACCCAGCTGCCCGCCTACCTTCAATAGGCGCGAAGACTGTGAAGATAATAGCGCTTTCTATCCCGGCTGCTACCCGCACACCTATTCCGATGATGGTTTCGTGTGGAGACGGCGTGCGCGACGGGTAGGGTGGGAGGTTCTGCAACATTGGGAGGTGTGGGCGTTGGACGCGCAGGAGATTTGAGATAGGTTTTCTTTTGCTTTCTCGCGTCATGATACGAAGGAGTTTAGCATACGAATTAGCGGTGTTGGTTTTTGACCCAGGGCCTGGGCTTCTCGGGGGGTTTTGTTTAGAGTGGAAGTTATCTCTCTACTCTTGGCGTTGGAAAAGTACATATATACACACGGAGGTGTCTTCTCTTCTCTCTTAAGCATCTAGGTTGATGAGACTCATGTCTTATTCATGAATTGAATAGTATGTTACCTATTCAAGGAATATAGCCTAGGGCGTAGTATAAATACTCCCCTCTTTTGTCAATGTACATAGCCATCAAAGATGAATACTATAGTACAAATTAATATGCCGGCATTAAAAGATCTAAATATAAAATTTCCCCATAATAATCGTGGCGCAACCCTGGAGGTTAACTTTCTGCCAAGTCTTTTACTCTGAGAACCTAACTCGATGAAATCTTTTTACCTGCCAACACCTGTGCCCCTGAGCTTACAATATGCTACTGAAACCGAAGCTATCTCGGATATCTGCACTCATATCCACTCTCAATATCTTAGTTTGTCAAGCCGCATGGGTCAGGAAGTTTGGGTGCTGTTCAACTGAGACATGTAACCCACTGGACGGCCCGTTTCGTGTCGACAATCTGCACGGCACGTTGGAAGAATTTGACAATTCTGCAGTATTGTCATTGTCAATATTAGCAATCCACGATACAGCACGATTCACATGCAGCGATCTCGACCTAGCATGGCTGGAGGCTTCCTTGCATTTCAATGTGCTCGGTATTCCAGTCGGACACGTAAAAAACTTTAGCTCGAATTGTCCTCTGCCGATCACTAAGTACCTGACACCGTAAGTGTTATCGTTTTGAGTCAAGAAAATCCACTTCCTGTTCCTGCTCGGCTGACGCAACGCTGTAGTCCAGAAGGCTCTCTCTTCTCGAGGTACGAGTTCTTCTATTCCCTTGGAAATGCCCATCGACTCCAAACCATCGTTTCAGATGTCAAGTTCCGTACCCGTGATGGTGTCCAACTTGAGTGTGTGACACCCAAAATCACTCCGGATATCGGCCCAGCAGCCTCAGCAACCTTCACCTATCTCGCCGCTGCTGTGATGGTCCTCGTTGGCATCGCATCCTGGAAAACCCACGCAAATGATGGATCCATTATGTCAACTGAGTCTAGCTCACCCTGGTCTATCCTGGGTATAGTTTGGAGAATCACACTGGACATATCTGAATACCTACGGTATCTGCAGTTCATATTTTTGGCTGCGTCTCTTAGCTTGGAGTATCCGGGGTTCTATAAACCAATAGTCAGCAAAGTGGCCTGGGCTTCACTTCTCTATTGGACCGGGCCTATCAACCACGGCTTTACTTACCCTGGAATTGAAGATGGACTTTATTCCCTCAATGGAACCTACGGGCTTGAGTACATGTCGCAAACCCTTGGTTTTCCTGCCATGCCGGATATCATGATAAATTCATTTATCAATCTGTTCATTCTCATATTTGGAGTCATGTTCGGCATTTTGATCCTGCTTCTGATTACGTCGCAATTCGGTGGGGGGATACACCTCGGTTCGGTGACTTGGGACGCAGGAATCGTCCTCATTGGCATGATTCTGTCGCTATTCAGCCTCCCTCTACTATCCTTTATGTCCTATGAGTTGATTCTCGTTGGATACCTGCCGAACTACCGCATCATTATAGTCGGATTCTCGATAGCAGTTATCGTTTTTTCAAATCTGCACATCACTCGCCACATCAATCGCCAAACCGAGCCTATTGATTGCTCATCCCCAGACAACTTTGCTCAGAGCGGCAGGTTGGCCATGTGTTTGTGGAAGGCTCAGCGATATTTCACACAATATCTGCCAGCTGCAGTTCCCCTGTTGCAAAGTATTGCAATTGGTGGATTGCAAGATTGGGGGCTCGTACAGGTCCTCGTGCTAATGGGGCTCGAGATTATCCTTCTCCTACATATGGCTATGTCACTTCGTGGCAAGCTTCTTGTGTCTCCGTCTGCTTGGTGCACTGTTGCTCGTCTGTTGGTCATCTCACTAACCATCACTTTCGCTTGTTCGTCGAATGAAACAACGAAACAGTGGGTCGGCTACATAATGCTGTGTTCTCACGGTACTGTGATTATTTTCGGCTTCCTTTCTGTTGCCATTTGGCGGCTGGCACGGCCAGTTGTACGGGACGATGGGTCTATCCCGAGACCCCGATTCAGTCAAGGAAGCGTGTCAAACCCTCCGGTAAGTCGTTCGATGATAGTATCTCGCTTTCAGTTAAATAGTCTAATCATCTTCCCCAGTCTTCATCTCCTGACATATTCCAAAATGGTGCCCCGAACCGGTATATGGCATATCCGTTGAATAAAATTGGTGCACCTTCACAAAAAAGGACTTCCCCTTCGCTACATAGCTCCGACGGCGCAGTAACCGCTGGGAGATCGTTTTCTCCATTCGATGCCCCTGAAAACTTTGCGTCCATTCACGGACCAACGCCAATCAATGGAAGATCTTACATTACGGATTTTTCTGCTTTTTACAGGCATCCACGACGTCCTAACTCTCCTATGCCTGTCCAAAGAGATTCACAAGGCCGATCATCTACCCACCATACCTCGGATGAAGGTCCTAGTGAACATTCGCGGAGTGATACACCTCCATCGGAACCGTCTCAAGACTCATTTGATGAGCTTATAGACACGCCCATCAATCCCAATACTGACTATTCATTGAGGGAATCAGATGCTTTCTATGGCACATTACGCACCAGCTTTAACTCGCAAGTGGCAGATTCGCCTGGACCGGCAACCCAAGAAAGGCGGAACATCCTTCAGGAATGGACAGCCAGGGCTGTAGAGACGTTGAACCATCCTATGAAGAAGAAGGAAAAGGGATTCCAGGTGATGAGACCTCCACGGCAGGGTTGACCAATCGTGAAGGATATCTTGTGATTTATTGTATGTAATTCGAGCGATGTTAAACAGCAGTGTATATAGTACCATGTAATTCTACTTCCTTTTTTTTTCAATCGGTTTGCAAACCCTATATGTGACAAGAAGATTTACATTGCTATCACATCCTGCTTTTCTATGCCTAGGAACAATATACATATGTCGAAGTTCGTCGGAGTCGACCCACATGGCTTTATTTAGCTTTTAGCCTTTGGCTAAGCCTAAACAGATCTAGCTTGGGCCGCTTTTGGAGATGGATACGAAAAGGTTCACAGTTCCTTCCTATTTGGGATTCTACAAAATCAAGACAAACACCATGTTTCCAAGCAATCCCTTATAGTGCAGGTAGTGCTATTTCAAAGATGTGGTATCTGATTCATCAAGTTCTGTCGTAGTACATCATCAACGTATAACTTCATACGTCGAGTCAAATGTCTTCCTGGCGAAGCTCCCCAGTCTCATATGGATCCAATCCTCAGCGCCGTCCCACTCATGTTCAAAGGGCTCGTCTCGATGAAACCAATGAAGGTTTTTAGGTGCTGTGGTTTGATTGTTCTGAGCAATCTGAATTTCTCCTACAAAGTAGCAGCAGTCTACGTACTCCCCAAGAAGCATCTCATATGTGAGGCCCATCTTCCTAAGGCCGGGCATGAGTTTCTGTATGATAATCAGTTAATGTAGTCCCATTAATGAGGCGAGCCCAAAGAAAACTGACGGTGATAGGCAGAAAGACTTGGTCCAAAATAGTCGATCCTTCAAGTTCACACACAAGCCTCTCAAAATTGTCCATGTAAAAGCTAAAGCGTTCATGGAATTCTCGAGCACTCGGTGCGTAGATATCCGCAAATATCCTGGTCAATTTAGGAAACACAAGCCCGTCGAGTAGACCATTTTCCGCAAAGGCGTCCTTCTGAGACTGAGAGTGGTAGACTACCATTGCATGAGTCACGTAGTTGGCATAGTATTGACGACGCTCGGGTGAGGGCTTTGCCATGATTTCATCGAGGGGAATGCATGGGCAAGCCCAGAGGAGGGGAATAGCCTCGCTATACCAGCGGCTATTCACGAGTGCCCATCTCAGCAAGTCCGAATGATGGGAGATCGTTTCACTTTCTGTGGGAGTATTTTGGTCGAATATTATGCGAAGGATTTCGCTAAGCCCAAGGGCTCGCTGGGCTGCCGTCACGGGTTGGGTCAATGGTTCCATTTGAGAAGAGATGATGTTTTGATGTTAACCGAAGAGAAAACGTTGGAAGATGGATAGAAACCTGGTTTGTAGGAGATGTGGAGGGGAAGTGAAGAGTACATGAGGCTTTAAATGTGATAGTGGGAGACAAACAATATCATTTTGGAAGGACTGTATTGCTATTTGATGTCATATGCTTTCAAGAGACTTTGTTGTTACAATTGCCATATTTGGAAGAGCCTATTTCTTATGAACAGCTTGTTCATCTTCATTCATGCTTCCCATTGCGCTAGTTCTTTTCTTCCCTTGCCATACATCTTGAAATCTTTATAGGCGCCCTTTAAGTCTGCATCTCCTTTCAACATTTGCAACTTTGACGATAAAGCGGGTTGTTGAGAAAGATGGGATCGACAGTGGAACGGGTAGAGCCGAGACCCACCAATATACTTGCATAGAATGTAATGAAGATCCGTAGTCTGTATAAGCAGTTGCTAGTAACTGCTAGTCAAAGCAGATTGATATAGTGGCCTTACATTCAAGGCATTACCATTGACTAGGGGGCTAACGTCAGTTTCGGCCAGCCGTATTTTCTTCACCCTTAAAACCATCCATCATGATGAAAATTCAATGGCGCTCTGTTTTGAGGCCAAGGGGGTGTATAATCCATAATATGTCTTCGATTGCCCACAAAAAGCTTCCAATGCCTGCTTTCAATGTGCCCTTGAACTGTTTACCTGAAGTTAGACATGCCCCGTTCGGAACGCAGCATATGCTAACCTAGCTAGGTAAATATTTTCGAGATGCTATATGTCGGGCTATCCATAGACAACTTATTTGGCTTCCCGAATGCCTTGGACCCAAGCCACATGGAATACATGAAGTAAGGACTGGTCATAAAACGTGGCAGGTTTGAAGTTAACGCAAGTTCTCCAGTGACATCGTGACACATCGAGAAGTTCTGATGATGCGGGTAATGAACACTATTACAGACAAGTCCAACTGGGATAAAAAGGTATCTAGCTTCCACTTAATAGCATTTATAGTATTGACTTCTTCCAGGTATTCGACAAGCACATCACTTCTAAATGGCGCGAGGAAATCGCCAATAGTGGGCAAGACGTGACGCCAAAGATGATGGACTGGATAATCAAAGAATTACAGTGGAAAGCTGGCATTTTCCAAAAGACCGGCCATGTCACTGTTTTTGATGTTGGAGTCGTCAAATCCGACAAAGCCATTTCCAGTTAACTGCAGCAGGAATTGAGACAAGCAGCAGCTCTGTTTGAGAATATGCCCGAGTCAAAAAAGACTATCATCCTGGGTCCGATCAGAAAGTCGTGAACCTAGATCATCCTTCATTGTTTCCAGTCGTCTATGGTCGAACTCGAATTCTGCCCGATAAAGTCATTGGCATCGATGACTCTTTGAGTGCTATTGGACAGGGCACTTTAATCCCGACTCCATCGGAAGAAGAGAGCCTTTTCGGTTCAGAGCGTCACTTGACAGATTATAGTCGTATTCGACCAGGACTCAGTCGAAAATTCCAGTGGCTCCCGTGTGATGTGGTTATCAAAGATTCCAAATGTGAGATATCATCTTACATCAACAATGTTCACCCGATTAAACATCGGGGACTGCACGATGTGGTCGAGAAAGTCATCGCCAGAACGATCCCGCTTTGGGATCAATCATTGACCAGAAAATGTTCATTGCGTCAAGAATTCCCGTATACAGAGGTTGGGTACGGCGCTCCTGTAGGGCCAGAGCCAATTCGTCCTCCGGATGCCGATGATATCTTTGATGAAGATGAGTATTGGGAGCGGCAAGAGTGCTGGGAGCTTTCCCGCCCGATACTACTTCCCGAGCCGGGTGATTTCGAGATTCTCGAGGTTATGGACAGAGTTAATCTGAGGGAGCACTTCGGCAAAACTGGACTGCTAGTGATTGTAAAATTGGCAAATATCGAATTAACCCCCGAAAAGCCAGAGTATGAAGGAGGTACCTGGCACATAGAGGGTCAACTGGTCAGTTTCCTTTACCTTCTTCCCGAGCCCTGGAGGTCAAGCACCTGTCTTACTAATCTCTAATTAGAATGAGCGCATATGTGCAACATCGATTTACTATTACGACAATCAAAACATCACTGAGAGTTCGTTGTTATTCCGGCAAAGAGGTTGCGAACTGAACGACATTCGCTATGAACAAGACCAGCATGAATTCCTTCAAGATGTTTATGGATTGGCTACGGATGATTCCCATAATGGAACTGAAGTTACACAAGAGCTTGGAGGTGTGGTTTGTCAAGAAGGACGACTTCTGACATTCCCCAATTCTGTTCAGCACAAAGTGGCACCATTTTCGTTGGCTGACAGATCAAAAAGCGGGCATCGTAAGATCCTCGCACTATTTCTCATCAATCCTCATAGAAGGGTGATCTCATCTGCCAATGTTCCCCCACAAAGAGAGGACTGGGCGCCAGAAAACTCGAATTTGAATAGTGTGCATGCACATGTTTCGACGAACTCGGGTACACCTGGCCAGGATGTACCCGGCTCAGTGATGAGCATGGAAGAGGCCAAAGCTTATAGAGTTGAGCTTATGGAAGAACGCAGTATTAAGACTGTGGAGAATAACACAGTGTTTGAGGATGGGGATTTCTGCCTTTGTGCGCATTAGACGGTTCACTGTTAACAATGCATCCAGGAGAAGGGTTTTAATATCGAGAGGGATCTCTGAGATTATGGCTGATCTGGAGGCAGAACAGAGAGTAATTAATGACGGCCAATTGATATATCCGAAATCCTTCCGCATCAAACCTCTTCTGGTTGCTTTTGCCAGGTCATAGGTGGCGTCCGGCAACTCGGAAGAGGTGTGTACTGGCAACGTCTGCATGGCAGATTTCGATGCGTTACATACAATGTTCATATATATGAGTCAAGGAATACTAGATTAGTCGAGACTCTGCCTGATCCTTTCAGCCTGTTTTAACCGGAATCAACATACAACATACAAAGGACGGAGAAACAATGACCATACATAAGCCCCCCATAGCCCCACCCAATTCACCGCCAATACCGCCTTCCTAAACGCGAAGTACAGGACCTTTTTTAAATTACCTAGTAACCTGCTTTTTTTGTTAGAAAAAAAATGGCAATGTTCTTTTCATATCGACATAAGCTACTGTATCCTTTTCTACGTCATGTTAGTACAGACATATATCACGTTATTCTGGCAGAATATTATATAAGCTATGAGGTGTCCACGCCCGCCGTGCCCGGGCCGCCGCACGGGGGAGGGGAGGGGATTGTGGAAACTTCTAATGGAAGTTATGTCCAGACGAGTGGAGTATGGAGTAGACAATGTAATCAGCTCCAAAGATACTTTGAGGCGTACTTGAACATAGAGTTTACTTGTTTTTGCTTTTTTTGATTTAATAATTGATTGGCTTACAATAGACCGATGGTTATGCGGGCCGCCTTGAGACACGTCCGCGACTCGTAAATTGGGCGGTGTTAACTCCCACTTATCCGCAAAGGCCATCAGATTGCACTTCAGCTGATGTATATTGCAAATGTACAGATATTCTGACCAATGGCCCCATGATAGGTCACATTGGCACATTCCAGAGTCAAATACTTAAACAGAGCAACATCCCGTTATTTTGTCAGTTTCCAAAGCTTACAGTTCGGCGCCATGACTATCACTACTACCATTCCACCTCTCAATCACTCTTCATTCAAGTGAGCTTGTGTTGTACTATACTAGACAATTGCTAATTGAACTAAGGCTACAAGGCCCATATGGTGATTGGAGAGATGACCTTCATGATCAAGGTTATGCGATTATCAAGAATGCTATCGACCCAGAAAAGGCCCGGGAGTATCAACGCAAAGCCCTAGACTGGCTCAAATCATTCAACACAGCACTCGATCTTGATGATCCTTCCACATGGACCAGAGACAACTTGCCTGTCCAAAGCAAGGTGAATACATTCAATGGGTACTGTGTTACTCATGAAAAATTCATGTGGGACGCTCGTATGGAACCGAAGATATTAGAGGCATTTGCCAAGATCTGGGGTACCGACGAGCTACTCGTCTCGTTTGATGCATTAAACATCACTCTACCAAATCGAGAAGACAAACCTGCTCGAAGACCATGGCCCCACGTGGATCAATCCCCGATGCGTCGCGGGCTCCACTGTATCCAAGGTGTTATCAATTTAAGCCATGCGGGTCCCGAAGATGGATCCCTTATGGTGTACCCGAGATCCAACAAAGCAACCGAGGGGTTCTTCGACACTGAAACCGATCCATCCACATGGGAACAGAGAGATATTCATAATTTCACCGAGAAACAAATCCAGTGGTTTGAAGATCATGGTATGAAACCACACAAGGTACTTGCGGAACCTGGTGATTTGCTCGTGTGGGATTCACGTACTGTGCATTGGGGTGGGGAACCAACAGTTAACAGCAACACAATCCGAACGGTGATTTATGCATCATATGCCCCCTATGAATTGGCCACAGAAGAGACTTTGAAACTGAAAAAGGAAGCCTTTGAGTCTTATCGAGCTACGACTCACTGGCCACATGATCATATAGTTATACGGGATGGCGTGGTGTCTCTCCCGGATGGTACGGTCGATCCTCGAAATCGATCGATGCCATTGGAAGTTCCAGAGCACACAGATCGGTTGCTTCAACTAGCAGGAGTAAAATCCTATTGGTAAATCAATATAATTCCTTTTTTTTTTATATTTTCTCTCTCTAATATCTAAGCGTTGATTATTAAGTGGTGCTAGTGTGTTTTGTGTTTGCTGACGACCCCGCAGTGAGCTTTTGACGTCGATCCTCCAAGCAAATATGAAATCATTTGAATCTCGCCCTCCCGTCGATTATCCACGGAAGCGTGCATCAATCGCATGTAATTTCTGTCGTCATCGGTAGGCTTTTTAATATCTTTTCTTTTGTTCGTCAACTAAAAAGTAGAAATAGGAAACGAAAGTGCGATGGTCAGAAACCAACATGTGGCCTTTGCACTGATGCCGGGGCTCAGTGTGTTTATCAAGAAAGCGACAGGTAGAAAACAGTGAGAAAAGGAAAAAAAAGAAGGATTATATAGTGACAATCCACAGGGTGCAGGATATTCCAGCTGAAATCCTGCTTCGTTTGACCCATTTGGAAACTCTGATTGAGCAACAAAAGGACGCCATCACCGAGCTCTCAGCCCGAGTAGCCTCATCGGATCATCCGGGTCGGTCGACTCCTACCATCTATTCGTCACAGCCAAAATACGACTGGGATCCATCGCCGCAGCATGTATACGATAAATCATCTTTCAACATCTTTTCACCGGAGAACCCATACGGTCAGGAATATGCATTTACTATTCCTCCCGGACATCATACACCACCAGGAAGCTTGTTTGCATTGGACCGAATCAAAAACTTGATTGGTGACTACCCTGAAGACTTTTTCAAGCAGATAGAGATAAAGCGCCCATTCAACAGCATCCAGGTCGCAGGCATACCCCAGGCTTTTGAACAAATCGACAGATCCCGACTGCATCCCCAGGTCACCAAACCTCTGATCACTGAGTTCCTCAACCATGTCCATCCGTACTTCCCCGTTCTCGAGCCGCAGTTGTTACATATGCTCTTTGAAACTTTCTCAACATACACCAAGGTCAACAGCATCCAAACTTCCCTTTACCTGGTCATTCTAGCTCTAGGAAAGGCCTCCTCGAATCCTGAACAGATTCTCAATATCGAAGCGGAGAAGGATCTGAACGGGATGGAATATTTTGCTTCTGCATATCACTACCTGAACAGCCCGTCGATAACGTCCTTTACAGCGGATCACTTGTTGCCTTTGGCTTTATTCTACGGGTCTTTGTATCTGCGTTACATAGGACGCCCAATCCAAGCATGGCGAATGGTTCGTGATGCATCCAATAGTGTGCAGCTCATGATTCCGGAGTGAGTGTGTTCTCTGATAGCTATTTCTGTTATGATACTGATACAGATTGGATATAGACTACGTGCTATGAACACGTACGAAGAGCGAGCTAGCCTCTATCGGACTGCCTGGGGTTGTTTCATTCTCGAATGGTAGGTAAGCTCTGGAGGATTATCTCGAATCCAGCTAACAAGCCACTGTGCCCCAGTGATGATCTCGCAGAGTTCCATTTCCCTCCCAGTGGCATTGAACACCTCGTTGATGGATTGCCCTTCCCTGGAATTTCGGAAGATAGCCGAAACGGCCACCTTGTCTTCCTTGCAATTTGTTCGATTCGAAAGCTTCTCAACCGTGTGCAAAGCGCCCTCTATACAAAATCCGACCAGGAGAAATTCCATTCCAGTCCTCCGCCCCAACGCACAATCGACACCCCTGGAGGCAATCCGACTCCTCAAAAGTATTCAATTACCTCTCTTAAGACAATCAGCGAGGAGCTCGATCGCCAGTTGGAGGACTGGTTTAACTCTCTGCCGAATCCCATCAGGCCGACCCTGGGAAACACAATATCCGCGGATCATCCGTACGATACTTACATTCTTACCCGGTACTATGCCACAAAACACATCATCTGCCGCCCGAGTCTTGTTATCGCGGCCCACACTCAGGGCAGTACGGTATTGCCGGAATTTGTTTTCGCGAATTGCAAGAAGTGCGTCGATAGCTGTCGCAAATTCGTCTGGGCGGCATCCCTTCTAATGCGGCAGAGAACATACGCAAACTGGCACAGAATGCAAGCGTAAGATCATCCTCCAAGTGATTTTGGCTGGTTTTTGAAATTCATTAACATATTTTACACAGAATCTTGGCTGCCATTTTTACTCTCTCGACTGCGAAAACCACGCCGGCTTTGGAAGCTCTTGTCCCGGACTTCGATGACCTGGTCAAAGAAGCAATTCAATGCATCGAACCCTGGGCGCAGTATTGCGAAACCGCGGATATAGTCGTCAGCATGATGAAGACAATCCGCCAGAAAGTGCGAGTAGCAGTTCGGGGAGCTTAGTAGAGAGTCTCTCGATCTGTACTTGGGTAGATATACGTATTTTGTTACTTTTGCATTTGCATGTATATGAGTTGAAATGCACAGAAGATCGTCGAGGCTACAAGCCTGTTGAATATATTGTTATTTCAGTTGTCCACAGATGTGTTATCAGTAAGCTTGTGATTCCCGAGTTGTCAAACCCCACCGAGAGAACTTCGGGAAAGTGTTCAAGTCAGACAACGTTCCACTCGCACAAGAATATGCCTCCCCGCTTGACAAGCCGAATTGATTCTATTCGCGGTGTGCGACTAGCAGGGGAGCCGTCCACCTGGGATATCCAAATTAAGTACCCCGCAGACTCTCCACAGGGCACAGTCACCTCTGTGGCCCCTTCTGCTAAGGATGATTTCGAATCTCCTTTAGCCCTACCGGCATTGACACATCCTCACATCCACCTTGATAAAGCCTTTATCCACAGCGCACCTGAATATGCCCCATTTCTACCTACAGCTGGCACATTCCAGGAGGCCCTATCCTCCACAACGAAGGCCAAGCAAGAATTCACCCATTCTGATATCATTAGAAGAGGGGAGTGGCTTCTTGCCGAGTCCGTTGCATCAGGTGTTACTGCAATGCGAGCATTTGTGGAAGTAGACCATACAGTGCAGCTGATTTGTGTAGAAGCTGCTGTTGCATTGAAAAATCAATGGAAAAATTCTTGCGATATCCAAATCGTCTGTTTCGCGCAAGATCCTATCTTCTCTAGTGAATACGGAGATCAAAACATGGAATTTCTGGAAACTGCTCTTCATAAATATTCGCAAATCGATGTTATCGGGACAACACCATACGTCGAATCCAATCCCGAGGCTGCAAAACAAAACATCGAATGGGCGATTGATCGTGCCTTGCAGCTGAACAAGCACGTCGACTTCCATCTCGATTACAACCTAGATTCAAACAAAGAGGCGCTAGTTTGGCATGTGTTACACACCCTCAAACAACGAAACTGGACTACCCATTCAACAGACAAACGCGTCATGCTGGGTCATTGTACACGACTGACACTTTTCACGGAGAACGAATGGGTCCGACTGGCAACCGAAATCCACGAGAGTAAACTCCCAGTCAGCTTTGTCGGTCTGCCAACAAGCGATATGTACATGGCGTCACCCCCCAGAACAAACGCAGACTGCAAGTCTCCGCAAGACCGCCCGAGAGGCACTCTACAAGTTCTAGAGATGATCCGGAAATACAACCTGGATGCAGTGATCGGGGTGAACAATGTTGGCAATTCATTTACCCCATGGGGTTTACCCGATCCGTTATCGTTGGCTTGTCTCGGCGTGGGAATCTACCAGGCTGGAAGTCAGGCGGATGCCGAGCTACTGTATGAATGTGTCTCGACACGAGCCAGGGCGGCTATTGGGCTCTCGCCATCCCATTCTGGTCTATGTGTAAAGCAGGGGTGTCGACCGGACCTGTTGTTGGTTCATCATAGAGATGAAACTGGATGTGGTGTGTCTCGGCCGCGAACGAATGTTGCAGAGGTTGTGTGGACTCCGCCGGGGAGATTGAATAGGGATGTGGTTTTTGATGGGCGGCTTAAAATTTCTCCTTTTGCTGTTGCGGATTCGGACGCATTGTATCAATTTTGATTTGATTTCATATGACAGTCGATTGAAGAATGTGGTTATATGTACATAACGGTCAATGGATGGGATCATCCATGCGAATTGGCGATTAACAGATATAAATGAACGCATCTCAGCGAATGGAGTTTCAGTTTCGTAGCATTCATCCGTCAGAGTCTCCGGTCGATTATTAATAACACTCGATAAACACCAATCTGGCATCATAGACGCACAAAGACCAGGCAGATGGGAGACAAGTGATGGAGAACTAATTGGATGTCTTCGGCCGCAAGGCATAGAATTGCACAGGCAAGAGATTGAAAGACTTGGGGAACCCCTTCTGGAGTTCCGACTTGACGACCTCCATGCCGGCAGCCTCAAAGACCTGTCTGAATTTCGCATCTGTCCTTGTGACACTGCTATCCTCACTGTCGTACATATCCTGACCCGAGAAATGGGTGGACAGATTCTCCTTGAAAACCATAAGACCGTTCTCAGTCAATGCTTTGCGGCACCGCACGGTAGTGTCAATGAGCTGTGAATCCGTGAGGTGACCGGCACACCACTGGACCCAGATCAAATCATATTTCTTTTCTGGGGTCCAATCTTCCAGGCCGCGCGTGTAAACGGTCCCAACGACGCCGTCCCGTTTCAATTGGCTGTCTTGCATCACTTGTGTGAACTTGGCTACCGGCTCTACCGCATCTACCACTTCACAGACATGGCTTAGGAAACCCTCTGTCACCCGACCGACGCCGGCACCACAATCAACACCTTGGTGGAATTTGCCCTCGGATTGGACTCCGGGTAATAAACGGCGGACCTTGGCTAGGAAGGTTTTGGACCCTTGTAGGTCAATGCGTGACACTGATGGGAATTCGCCAAGCATGCTGCCGGTGGTGGCTGGAACACTGTTCCAGTATTTCAAGGAGGCGGCATGGTTAATTTTGGAATCAGCTGCCGTTGAGTCTGTCATGTTGGAAGCTTTTGTGTTGGCCTATGTACTCCGTAATTGCTTATCGGAATGAACATCCATAAGAGGAATGTCTTGAAAGAAAATATATATCCTGGTCACGTGATGCAATTGCAACATACAGGATATGTATACCCTTGTTCGTTCTATTACTTTTCAAACGGAATAGGTACATGTACCTATGTTGTATGCATTACTATTGGTTACTTTTATTTCTTTTGTCTAGGCACTAAACAAAGACTTCTTATACAACATAGTACGGAGTAGGAGATTCTTGGCAATCGACTTTAATTGACCCTAACCTTATGCTAATATGATACAGATAGGACAGTGGGCTGTGCTATGATCGACAGGGATAAAAAAAATCTCTGATTAGGATCTTTTACCATTGAACCCTGAAACTAAGGAGATTACGTGGAAGCTGGGGCGACACACCTGTTGAAACGGCCATTTGATTGGAAGTGCCGTAGCGCCCCCAGTTTGGGTGTAAAGTGCCGATCGTTCATAAATCATTTCTTTCCCCTTATCCCAACTCCCTTTCAACCAAACCTCTTTTCCTCACCACAGTCATTCCTTTATACTGTTTTTTGTTTCACCATGGCAAACGATCGTACGGATGAGCGTAAGCTCGAGGGCGGATCTCCTGCTCCTAAGGACAATGGCCTTCACCCCGGCTTCTACATCGCGTGCGTAACACCAGACTTTGGTGTCCATCTTTAACTAAATCTTGTTTTAGCCTGTGGATTGCTCTGAGTTCCAGTGTCATTTTGTTCAACAAATGGGTTCTTGCGAGCGCCAAGTTCAGTATGGACTTCCCCAATCCCCTATCCTTGATATTTGGACTTGGCTAACTTTTATTGCTTCTAGACTTCCGTGAGTTTCTCCGACCGAATTTTGACCGAGAATATCAAATACTGACTTGCGATACCAGCGCTTTTCTTGACGACCTGGCACATGGTGTTCGCCACGGCGATGACCCAGATTCTCGCCCGGTTCACTACCGTGCTTGACTCGCGCCACAAGGTTCCTATGAACCCGGCCACCTACACGTGAGCAACCCCGATAATGCAATACGGAATGACTAGCACGGCTGGTGTCCGACCCGAGTTCCCGATCGCTAACAGGTGGATTTGTGAAATATAGACGCGCCATTGTGCCCATTGGTGTCATGTTCAGTTTGAGTCTGATCTGCGGTAACTTGGCATACCTCTACCTGAGTGTTTCCTTCATCCAGATGCTTAAGGTGCGTTTGAATCGCGAGTTTTGGCCTCAATTCCGATCTCGGGCCATTTTCTAGACCGCTAGGCTCGACTCAATGCTAATACCTTGTTTTCTAGGCTACCAACGCTGTTGCAACCCTTCTCGCCACCTGGGCTTTCGGAATCGCTCCTACCAACTTGAAGACTCTCGGCAATGTGGCTCTCATTGTTGTCGGTGTTGTGATTGCCTCGTTCGGCGAGATCAAGTTCGAGATGGTCGGCTTTTTGAGTATGTTATTTTCTCGTATATTTGACATTCAAGGTCTAACAACCATACAGTCCAGATTGCCGGTATCGTCTTCGAGGCCCTCCGTCTTGTCATGGTCCAGCGTTTGCTTAGCTCCGCCGAGTTCAAGATGGACCCCTTGGTCTCTCTGTACTACTATGCCCCCGCCTGTGCCGTTACCAACGGTATCGTCACCCTCTTCGCTGAGGCTCCCCGTCTTACCATGGGCGATATCTACGGTCTTGGTATCGGAACTCTCATTGCCAACGCACTGGTTGCTTTCCTTCTTAACGCCTCTGTTGTTTTGCTGGTAAGTCATTTTGTCTCAGTAATAACCACTCTTATCACTAACACACCAATAGATTGGCAAGACTTCTGCTGTTGTCCTGACCATGGCTGGTATCCTCAAGGACATCCTGCTTGTCGGTGCTTCTATGCTCATTTTCCGCGACCCCGTCACTGCCCAGCAGTTCTTCGGTTACTCTATTGCCCTGGCTGGTCTGGTGTACTACAAGCTCGGTGCTGAGAAGTGCCAGAGCCTTGTTACCGATGTGCGCCTCCAGGTTGGTGAGTACAACCGCAGCAACCCTGCCCGCACCAAGGCCCTCCTCATTGGTGTGCCTTGCGCTCTCATTATGCTCGTTCTCTACAGTGGCAGTGGTGCCTCGGCCCCCGCTGCTGCTCAGATTACCCACTAAGCACGACAGGTACACCCACGAGCTGAAGCAATCGACGCAAATTTGGAGCACGCGGAGCACATTCCACGTGGGCCTATTGTTTCACGAATCCAAGCTCGGATAAATCCGATGCTTATGTTAAATTTTTGATAAAGATGATGTCTTGTCTGGACAGGACAGAACATGTAAAGTTAGGGGACATAGACGATATTTGGCTGTTTTCAATGGGGATAGGTTTTATAATCAACGGTTGCATGAAATTGATATATTGCATCAACTTTACATTTCTCCCTGGTATCTCATTGCGAAGTCCAATGCCAATCCAAATCAAAGATGATGCAGCGTATCATACCTTTCATGGGTAACGCTTGAACAAAACATCTGCAATGCCAAAACAAACAGCCCCGACAGCAAAAGTAGCCGCAAATACCGAAAACCCAACGACATACGCAGGCGAGTCTTCTGCTGGAAACAGGGCACTCCCATATAATTGCGCCAAAGCAGAAACGCCAGACATCCAGGCGAGCATAATCGCACGAACATCACGAGTAACCGAAGCCAGAGCCGTTGTAGTAAACGAAAGAGCCAGCGCACTCCCCGTCCAGAGAGCCATATTAATAAAACACAAAAACAGATATCGCGCAGTAGAGTTTCGAATACCAGCCGTAAAAGCGAAAAACACCATACCGACAATCATACTGCCCACCAATAGCCGTCCCCTACCATGGGGGTTTCGGTCAGCGAACCAGCAAATGGGAATAGCAGCAGCTAGAGAAGCAATATAGAGCGGAGCCGTCATGTACTGCGCAGCTGTTGCGGTGTATCCCATATCGTTGATTAACGTTGGATAGAAGTATGAGATAGCCGAAGCTCCCAGGATAGCCATGTAACCCGGGATTAGTATCCAGGTTCGCCAATGTGAGATTGCTTGGAGGAGGAGTATAAAGATAGAAATATTTTGGTTTTTTGAGTCATCTTGGTCGGCGATCCCGTCTTCGATGAGTCTCTGCTGGGCTAGTATGCGTTCTTCGGGGGATAGCCCGCGACTGCTGTGTGGGTAGTCGAGGAGGGTCCAGTGGACGATTATACTTACTCCGGTTGTTGTGACTCCTTCAACGATGAAGAGCCACCTCCACCCGCGGATACCGTATGCGCCATCTAAGGTTGAGGTAATAGCTCCTGAGATTACGCCTCCGAAGGCTCCTGAGAGTATACCTGCGGTCAGGAAGATGATGAATCGTTTTGATCTGGTTCGCGTAAGTGGTGATTCAATATTGTGCTGTATAAACGAAACATACTGCTCGTTCTTTCTATACCATGTAGAAATTAAAAAGATCACGGCTGGCTTCGTTTTGAGTTAGAATTGGAGTGGAATATCATTCGAGTACTCACACTAAACCCTGCTTCGAAGACTCCAAGGAGGAACCTTAGGGCTATGAGTTGGCTCTGATGATGGACAGCTCCTATTAGGGCTGCTACGGATCCCCATGCGAATGTGATTATTGGAATGAAGACCGATGGGCGAGTCCGGCAGAGAATCATACTAGATATGAACTTAATATTTTGTAGGAAGACGCAAAGCTCCTATCTTACTTTGATGGCACTGCAGAGATTGTGTAGCCAATCACCCATACTATCACGGCTGTATAGTATTGATGTGATGTGAGGTGCAGATCCTCTTCCATTCCGGCAATTTTTGCTAGGCCAATATTTGATCTGTCCTAGTATTTTTAGCAGATGTAGTTGGAAATTGCCACATTGATCTACCATGTAGGAGAAGAGGTAAAGAATGAAGATTGAAGGCATCAAATAGAGATCGATTGTTCGGACAAGCTTCTTTTCGGCGTCTGCGTCGACAATGATACTGGTATTCTCGGAGTGCAAATCCCGGGGTTTGCTTTGTTCGACAGATGTAGACATGTCAGTGATAGTTGATTATTATATCAGGATATGACTTTATCCATTCACCATTACGCTGGCCTGGAATGAGTGGTTTTATATAGTCGAGTTCAGCGAGTTGTTAGTCTACATAGAACAGTATTGTTCAATCTCGGTTGGAGATACTGAGTGGCTGTCGATATGATATTCGATGTCACAAACATTCCACAACATTATTTGTGTTGTAAAGCCCAAATCAAAACGTTCCGTCAAATAATGGCACATAGGGCCTTGTTCTGTCTACAAGTATAGGAAACCAACTCTTACATATATATAGAGCCACATAGTCAACTAGCTTCGCAAATAATTAATAACCGAGGGTTTTTATATTGCAGCTCGTTTGGATCTAGCGACTATTTGTATAAAACCTGTTTTTATGGTAAGATCTGAAAATGTAGTTATTGGCGGACTTGCCGTTTTTGTGTCGGCCGTTTATGGAAATGTGTCATTGTTGCGCGTTCGGGCCCGGACATGCCTAAAATGTCTTTTCTGAATGTTCACTCTTTGACATTATAATTGGCTTTGAATCGAATTTTAATCTCAAGGTCTAAGAGCAGACTTTTTAACCATGGCGACCAACAGAGGCATTGTTGTCATATCAGGAGGCAGCGCGGCGAACAATCTCGTCGATGTATTCAGCGCCGTCCGTGAAAGCAAGAATTGTCCACTTAGCTACATCATTCCAATCAGTGATAACGGAGGATCATCTTCCGAGTTGATTCGAATATTCGGCGGCCCTGGGATCGGTGATGTTCGGAGTAAGCCTAATAATTTGGGATATCCCCCTAACTCACTTGCTAAATTGTCGGACAGGTCGATTGGTACGCTTGATTCCGGATTCACCAGCAAATCCTGAAAGGTCAGCAGTCAAGGCATTGTTTAACCATCGGCTGCCTGCGGAAGCAGGCATCGCAACCAATGAATGGCAATCCATCGTTGACGGCACATCTGGGCTATGGACAGCCATCACCCCGGCAAAAAAAGAGTTGATACGCTCATTTTTCAATGTACTAAACCTGGAAATCTTGAAACGAGCCCGACCACCATCATCAACTTTTGACTTCACCTCCGCAAGTGTGGGAAATCTTTTCTTGACTGCCGCCCGGCTGTTCAGTGGAAGCTTCGAAAGTGCCATCTATCTACTCGGGAGCATCTGTGGCGTCCCATCAGATCTGGTGCGGGTAATCCCAGCCATTAACTCCAATTTCTCCCACCATATCTCTGCATCGCTTGCGGATGGAACTGTCATTGTTGGCCAGAACAGTATCTCGCACCCAAGCGAGGCGACGGCCCTTGAGCACAACCCTCGCACAAGGAGACCGAGTCTGCTTCTTGCCGATGGAGATGATGTTGACTACACTGATTCCGAAATGTCGGACCCGACGACATACGAAGAGGATCACCTTCCCGGTTCTCTGGCAACTCTCCGCAACAAAAATATCAAGTTCAGTAAAACCGAGAACGAAGATTTGAGTTCCAGAATCACTCGTATCTGGTACATCAATCCCTACGGCCAGGAGATCCGACCACCCGCGAACCCGCGAGTCCTGGAAGCAATAAACGATTCCCAGGCCATCATTTACAGTATTGGGTCTCTCTACACATCAATCATCCCTGCTATCGTCCTGCGAGGCGTAGGTAAAAGCATCGTCTCCAGTCCAGCCCGACACAAGATCCTCATTTTGAACGGATCACTAGACCGGGAAACCGGGCCTCCATCCGCGCCATTTTCCGCATCTGACTTTGTGGAAGCAATTGTAAGCGCTGGAGAGGAAAGTCGTGGACGCGGCCCGATTGTTCATTCTCGGCATCAAAGTGAGACCCCCGAGACAACTTCAGTGCAAGACAATGTTCGAAACTACAGAGCCCTTCCATATACCAACTATGTGACTCATGTCTTGCATCTTGAGGGCCCGGGGACGCCACATGTGGACCGTGAGCGGCTCTCACATATGGGAATCGAAACGCTTCGTCTTTATGGACGAAAAATCATGGCGAAGGATGGCGATAAGGAGACTGTTGTGGGAATGCAGTATGACCCTAATGCCCTTGTGCAGGCTATTGAGGTAGTGTTGGGGAAGAAGGGAGATGCAATGGTTCGGGGGATTGTGGGAAGTGCACTGAGTCGGCGGAATACACTCGATCCTGCAAGGAGGGACCGATCGGATATGCAATAGTGTCTATTTAGAGATAAGCTTTGTACTTTAATCTATATCGAGATACGACTACATCTACACATCATGTAAATCATTAGCAAATGAAACTCCATTCATCAATCCCAAGTCATTAACCACAGATGCAACCCGCTCATGCAAAATTTGAAAAAAGAAATACCCACCGTTCCCACGCCCCGATTCGTAATGCCGCAAGAGTCGAGAGAAAAACAAAGATTTGAACTAATGGAAAATGCCGATGTACGGTCTCTATGGACTAGGGACGGGAAGATCGGAGCGTTTTTTCGTTTGGAACAATAGCGGAATAAGGTTCTTGGTCCTCCCAGGCGTCTCCTTCCGTGAGATCGGTGTGCGGCACACCGGGCAGTTACCCTTGTATTGTTTCGAGGAGTCAGCGGCGCGTGTTTGTTCACTCATTTTTAAGCAGTCAATGATGCATTTATGACAAAAGAGATGTCCTAAATACGAGAAGTCAGTAGAAGCCCTGGTAAAGCCCTATATAGCAGAGAATCAGAACCATACCGCATGAGGTGCTCGTTGCGTCTACAGGCGTCTCCATGCAAATAGGACACTTGTAGGCAAGTATAGTGGAGAGATTTGAATTGCTCTCCGCTGATGCCTGCGCTTTGATAGCGTCCTCCCTCTGTTTAGCCACTGTCCGAGCGAGTGCGGCCACGCTTGAGTCGTCGGTCATATCGATCGTTTCGATAGGCACATCTTCGGAGAGAGCCGAAGAGGATGCGAAGGAATCGCCATGCTCATCGCTCCATGGACGACGGCGCTTGACACCACGGGGAGGAGGTAGCTGTGAACGTTGGGAGGATGGTGCGTGGTCTGAGGCGCCAGGCGGCGAGGATGATAAGATTATAGGATTTTGCTGGGGTGCTCTAGTTGTCGACCTTGCCCTGGTTGTCAGGTCAACAACGTCGGGCCCGTTTCCGCTCATTGTGATACACTTGGAGGTAGGACTCTTGCTGAGAGGTTTCTTTCAAGGTTGAGCGAGGAAATTGGTCCGGGATTCGAAAGGAAAGTCGTCTGTGGCCAGTGCTGCCATGTGGGGAATGATGTGAGACGATCTGGAACTATTGGCCGACGAACAGTCTGCAAATGTTAGAAGAGTCAGGACATACAGGAGATATCATGGGTCAGAGCAGAAGAACGCAGCAAAATTGAGAGGCCTCTTCAGCGATCAAAGCAAGTTCCATGGGTGATGGCGACAATGCGCAGCTTATCAAATAGGTCATGTGAGGATAATCGATCCGATAAGCCCACTACTTATTGCCGTCGGTAATTGCAAGGCGGTCAGGGAGATAACAGAGGGGCTTTATCGGAAAATTGTTATACCGATCGGAGAGAATAATGTGGTTGTCTACAAGCAGAAGGCGGTCAAAAGCCTGGGAAAATAATATTCCGGCCTGCATGACGCCCGGATCTGAGATATGGATCGCGATAGGCAATGATATGGAAACGTCCATCTTCAATACTTTCTTTTTTTTCTAGGATTTTCTTCGCGCTCCCAGTGCAGCCGTATGGCTGTAGCCATACTTATATCATGACATAACACTGCCAAATTCTTATTTTTATTATGTTATCTCGGAAATCCTCCTGCATTCCTTGTTCTAGGGGTGCCGTGAACTGTTTCTCGCGACTGAGCTCGCCACTCTTGGTTAAGCTGCCATTATGGCGCCAATCACATAGAAGTCACCAATTACACAGAAGCCACACGAGACTTTCCTCTACATCCGCCGACAACACTACTACAACACGATCTCTTTCTCGTGGGTACCCTGTCTTCCGATACGAAAATCAAATTGCAATTACTGATGTCGCCTAGTCCCTTCCTCAGCTAGATTCAATGATATCGGGGTCCAGCAGCTAAGCGACCATGTCCATGCTCAAGTCTTCCCAAATAAAGGTCGCATCCCGGACCCAGAACTAGTCGCACTTTCGAAGGATCATTTGGCTAGACATGAGCTCCTGGGCAAATCTCAAAATGGCGCCGGTCCTGTCGCATTCGATCTTCCTGCTCTCAAGGGTCAAACATTGGACGAGCATTTCTACAAACTTGGAATGGATTCTTCCGAACCCTACCTGACATACGCCAAATCATACGCGGCACTGAACTGTCCGGCTAAACCACGCAAATGGGTCAAGCGCAGTGGATGGACGAAATATCATGCTGATGGCACTTCTGAGCCTGTCGATGCCCCCAATGAGTCAATGTTGACGTTCGACACCGAAGTCATGTACAAAAATAATTCATTTGCAGTTATGGCTTGCGCGGTAAGCCCGACGGCATGGTATGCGTGGCTATCACCGTGGCTGCTCGGCGAGTCGAAAGATGAAATACAACTGGTACCCTTAGGAGATCCCACTCAACCCCGCATCGTGGTTGGCCACAATATTGGTTACGATCGAGCCCGAATCCTTGAGGAATACGATATGAAGCAGTCTCAAAACTTCTTTATTGATACAATGTCACTTCACGTGGCGGTAAACGGCATGTGCTCACAGCAAAGACCAACATGGATGCGTCACAAAAAGAATCAGGACTTGAGAGACAAAATCTCGAATGAGCACGATTCCGTGGAACTTGCCGCACTTCTCGAAAACAACATGTTAAGGGAAGAAGAGGAAGAGCTTTGGGTTGGGCGAAGCTCAGTGAACTCCCTACGTGATGTTGCCAAATTCCATTGTGATGTCACCATCGATAAGGCGCAAAGAGATCTTTTTGGTGAACTTGACCGTGATTCTATCGTGGGCCGACTGGAGGAACTTCTTGACTATTGCGCCGCCGATGTTGCCATCACCCACCGTGTCTACCGGAAAGTTTTCCCCAACTTTCTCGAGACTTGCCCGCATCCTGTCAGTTTCGGCGCTCTTCGGCACTTGTCCTCTGTCATCTTGCCAGTCAACGAAACGTGGGGAGAGTATCTTGCTAGAGCAGAAGAAACATATCATAAACGACTTGATGATGTCCAAAGTAAATTGCTTGCACTATGCGACGAGGCACTGAAGTGCAAAGACCAACCTGACATTTACACTAATGACCCTTGGCTACAACAGCTGGACTGGTCCGGCCAAGAGATCAAAATGGTAAAAGGAAAGAAGAAGGGTGATCCTCCTCGACCGGCAGCCAGGCAAAAGAAACCAGGAATGCCGAAGTGGTACAAGGATCTTTTTTCCTCAAACGCCGCAGAGATTAACCTGACGGTGCGAACTCGCATTGCACCTGTTTTGCTCAAACTCTCATGGGACAACTACCCTCTTGTGTGGTCGGACCTGCACGGATGGACTTTCCGTGTTCCCCGTGATCAAATCAAACAGTACGAGAATCAGCCAGTCATAGTCTGCGATATGGCCGAGGAGAAGAATACCGTGTTGCGAGATGATAAAAAAGCCACATACTTCAAAATTCCTCACAAAGACGGCCCACAGGCCAGATGTACCAATCCGCTTGGCAAAGGGTATATGCAGTATTTCGAGCGCGGGATACTGTCATCTCAGTATGAACTTGCTAAACAGGCACTGGATATGAACGCGTCATGCTCCTACTGGATCAGCGCTCGAGATCGAATCAAAGGTCAAATCGTGGTCTACGAAGATCAGGTGCAAAAGGCCCGAGGGAAAAGTGAAGCAAGCAATAATCGTATCGGATTCATTCTACCTCAAGTTATCCCCATGGGAACCATCACTCGACGTGCCGTGGAGAATACCTGGCTGACTGCAAGTAACGCGAAGGCCAATCGTGTTGGGTCAGAGCTAAAAGCTATGATCAAAGCACCACCAGGCTACTCGTTCGTTGGAGCTGATGTTGACTCGCAAGAATTATGGATTGCCAGTCTTGTCGGCGATGCCTCATTCCAGATTCATGGAGGAAACGCAATTGGCTTCATGTGCTTAGAAGGGTCCAAAGCCGAAGGCACGGACCTGCACTCACGAAGTGCGTCAATCCTGGGAATCTCACGTAACGATGCCAAGGTCTTCAACTATGGCCGAATCTACGGGGCAGGCGTCAAGTTCGCTGCTACTCTACTTCGCCAGTTCAACCCATCTTTGACTGAAAAACAGACCCAAGACACTGCTAAGAACCTATACAAAGAGACCAAGGGAACACGCACTTCACGGCGCCTTTTGAGTGAAACGCCCTTCTGGCGAGGTGGCACTGAATCCTTTGTGTTCAACAAGCTCGAAGAGTTCGCAGATCAGGAACGACCTAGAACTCCTGCTCTGGGCGCTGGGATCACCGAGGCACTCATGCGACGTTTCATCAACAAAGGTAGCTTCATGACATCTCGAATCAATTGGGCCATTCAGTCGTCGGGTGTTGACTATCTTCACCTCTTGATCGTTGGCATGGATTATCTCATCCGGCAATTCAACATTCAAGCGCGCTTGGCGATCACTGTTCACGATGAAATTCGCTACCTTGTCAAAGATGAGGATAGGTACCGCGCTGCAATGGCTTTGCAGGTTGCCAATGTTTGGACTCGTGCCTTGTTTTCGCAGCAAGTGGGGATTGACGATCTTCCCCAGTCCTGTGCCTACTTCTCAGCTGTCGACATTGACCATGTGCTTCGTAAAGAAGTTGACATGGACTGTGTGACTCCTTCGCACCCACACAAAATTCCACATGGTGAAACGCTGGATATTGAACAGCTCCTAGGCAAGGATCAGGAAGCTTTCTTGGACCCTTCCATCACACCACAGTCGCCTCCAGAACCCGAAAAATACCCATACACCCCACGGGAGTCGGTCATGTCCGCCTTCCAAGCTTCCAACGACATCGATTTCATCAAAGCTCAGATCACGAAGGATGACAAAGAGCTCCGCGACATCATCAAGGAGAAGACGCGGGCAGCTACTAGCGCCAGCGCTTCTAACCCTCTTACCTCCTCTACCAAACCGAAAGGCAAATCTACCAATTGGACCTCAGCGAAGCCCCAGCGAGCAGTTCTGATGGACATGGAGTCGGGTCTCTACCCCGACTTCCACAGCCCCCCTAGGCCTAGTTCCCATGGGAACAAGCAGCCTCAACTGGGATTCCACCGTCCTTCCTGGAAACCACGGGCAATAGCCCGAGCATAATGCTGTCTACCTTCTTTTCTCTTTCATTCTCTTTGTATTATCTCCACCCATTTTTACTGTAAACGGCGGACCTATGAATTACTGTATATAACCATGTTTCACGCGCGAAGCTAATAGCATCTTAATGTGACATCGAATGCATATATGTATACTCTGTGACAGTATTAGACTAGAGGCTCTTATAGGAAGCCCAGTGGAAACTCAGTAGAAACATGGCGATATTCGCCCTCCAATGAGGGTCCTTAATGTCTCACTTTTTGTGAGCTGACTGTCGCTACCGTAGCAAGTGAGTGTCATCTATTGTGGTATCGCCATAGTAAAAAAACACAGCCCCGGAACCATCTCAGCCACATAGTACTTGGCCCATATTAGTTCCCCATATTAATGCCTTCGTTTTATGCCTCTATTTCGTTATCTCGATGCTTCCAATAGATAACGTTACCTGTTTTGGGCTGATTTACTAAGATTAACCCGGTTAAAGACATATAGTCAAAAAGGCAGTCAAGACTACAGTTGAAAGGCGTTACAAATGTAGTAAAAAGGGTGAAGCTTTACTCTACGGCGGATCAGATAATTTACGTGCAGAGTTTTTCGGGGAAAATTTGCGCCAAGCTTGGGTCTCATTAGTGCGAGTACTTGGCAATACACATGATGCGTACCCGCCTCGTGTTTGCTTTTTTTTTCCCCTGAGCTTCCTCAAAACTTCAGGGTGCGAGAGCGCACATCATCAGTTTACAATATTGAACAAATTTACATATAATGGGGTATTTGGGCAGGTAAATGGGGGGAAGGGAGGGGCATCATGATCATGGGCCAAACGTGGGCTGTGGGGTGAGCCCTGGAGGGTTCAACTTCCAA